GGCCCTCGAAGGCGGTCCTTGAGGCGGTGTTTCTGGGTGACATCAGGACCTCGGAGGCGTGGCTCCCCCTGGCGCGTCGGGTTGCGCTGGGCGGTACTCTAGCTGACGAGACGCTGAGGGGAGGCGTTCATTGATAAAAACACCGTGCTCCCTCTGGCGCGGGCAGCGTAGCGAAAGCAGGCAGCATCACGCTTGGTCGTGGCCGGGCGGAACCGGGAAGCTGCCGCGCCGCCCGCATGGAGCCTGCCGCCGGCTCCCCGTCTCCGCGAGCCTTCCCGCGTGCAGCCGCCCCACCCGCGCCCCCAGCCGGACCGGGACCGCCAGCGAGCGCCCTGCGCGCGCCTCCGGAGGGGACGCTGGCCGGACCCCCGGCGCCAGATCCTGGGCGCCTCATCACCGACCCGCACAGCGGCCGCACCTACTTCAAAGGGCGCCTGTTGGGCAAGGTGGGCTGGGCGGTCTGGGGAGCGGCGGTCGCGGGGTGGAGGGAGCCCCGCCTGGTCGAGCGGGGACGCTGAACCCTGCCATGGGGACTTCTGGGGCGCCTGATATGATGCTCCTGCTTCTAGGGTGGATTTGCCCGCTGCTACGAGGCCACCGACACCGAGAGCGGCAGCCCCTACGCGGTTAAAATCGTCCCACGGAGCCGCGTCTCCAAGCCGCATCAGCGCGAGAAGGTGGGTCCCACCCACACCGCGAACAAGAGGTGGTGACAGTGGCGGGGGCACCTGGAAGGATGACGACCCTGGGTTCCCGTTGCAGATCCTCAACGAGATTGAGCTGCACCGAGACCTACAGCACCGTCATATTGTCCGTTTTTCACACCACTTTGAGGATGCTGATAACATATACATTTTCTTGGAGCTCTGCAGCCGAAAGGTAGGGAATGAATTCCAGCAGGGAAGGGGATAAGAGAGAAGGCGAGTCCTAAGATCCAAAGCTGGGGCCGACTTTCTCAGCCAGGACAAGTGGAGGGAGATCAGGGAGGGCGAACAGGGGCTGAGGCAGTGGCTCTCTGCAGTCCCTGGCCCACATCTGGAAGGCCCGACATACCCTGTTGGAACCAGAGGTGCGCTACTACCTACGCCAGATCCTTTCCGGCCTCAAGTACTTGCACCAGCGGGGCATCTTGCACCGGGACCTCAAGCTGGGTGAGGCTCCCGGGTCAGTAGGGTGGGGCCAGGAGAAGACGGGAGGAAGGAACCTGACACCTCTGCCTCTGTCCAGGGAATTTCTTCATCACGGAGAACATGGAACTGAAGGTGGGGGATTTTGGGCTCGCAGCTCGGTTAGAGCCCCTGGAGCAGAGGAAGAAGTGAGTGTTTGAGGGAGGAGATGGTCATGCACAATCTGTTTGACACAGATGATGTGTGTGGCAGACAGTGAGTGTATATGTGGGAGGCAAGGTGACCTCCTGACTAGTGCATGTGATAAACAAGGAAGGGGTGACGAGTTGTTTGTGTACGTGTGGAGGTGACAGCTGGATTTGCTGGGACTGGTGGAGAGGAGGAAGGTCCTGTTAAATGTGTGACATGGCAGGGGGAGGGAGAATAACCCTGAGTCCATGAGACAGACAGGGGAGTAAGGGTTCTTGGTGCTATATGACTGACTGTGTGTGTGAGTGAGGACACAGGTATGTGAGAAAGGCAGGACTTGATACTCTGTGAATGTGTAAGAAAACCCTACTGTGGGCACTGTAATTGGGTGTGTATGACACAGATAGGCATGTGTGGCCCATTAGTGTTTAGGGGGGATGTGACAGCTGGTTTTGGTGTGCGTATGGCACAGACTGTGGGAGGTGACAGCATGATGGGTGTGTCTGACAGACTGGAATGGGGGAAAGGGCCAGCCATGGACCCTCTGTAACCCTTGAGGAGGTACTAGGTTGGGGGTCAGGCTTCTCCTTCCCCCATCTCCTCTATCCTGCAGAGCAGCTGAGCAGCTGCACCAGGCAGGCGGGTGGGGACTCAGCTCTTGTCTCCAGCATCCATTGTCCCAGGACAAGCAGGCGCTCTCTGGCCTTTGGTGACAGACAGCTGCTTTGTGTAGAGTCACAGTGGGGGCAGGAATGGGGAGGGCTGCTGGGCTGAGTCTGAGCCCTCCCTTCTCCTTTACCCTCTTTCAGGACCATCTGTGGCACCCCCAACTATGTGGCTCCAGAAGTGCTGCTGAGACAGGGCCATGGCCCTGAGGCAGACGTGTGGTCACTGGGCTGTGTCATGTGAGTGCCAGGTTCAGTGGCAGATTGTGGGTGTGTGCACAGGGCACTTCTGCCACTTTACTCCTGAGGCTTGTGTCCCTGGCCCTTAGGTACACGCTGCTGTGCGGGAGCCCCCCCTTTGAGACAGCAGACCTCAAGGAAACCTACCGCTGCATCAAGCAGGTTCACTACACGTTGCCCGCCAGCCTCTCACTGCCTGCCCGGCAGCTCCTGGCTGCCATCCTTCGAGCCTCACCCCGAGACCGCCCCTCTATTGACCAGATCCTGCGCCATGACTTCTTTACTAAGGTGTGTGGCTCCCAGACATCTGGGTTCCCATCTGCGTATTCCTAGGGGGTTAAATGGGAAGGTGACAGGATCCCTGGGGCCTTTTCTCTACTGACATGGCTCCCTTCTCAGGGCTATACTCCTGACCGGCTCCCTGTGAGCAGCTGTGTGACAGTCCCAGACCTGACACCCCCCAATCCAGCAAAGAGTCTGTTTGCCAAAGTTACTAAGAGTCTTTTTGGCAGGAAGAAGAGCAAGAGTGAGTTGGGCATCAGTGGGTTGGGGCTGTTCATCATGTGCATCTTGGGCATGTGAAAGCATGGGTGCCTGTGAGCTGGGAGAGTGTATATTGTCCAGGCACTTGGGAAGTCCAGTCTTGGTTTCATCTTTGTGGGAAACAAGGCTGGCAGAACATTGAGACCTGTTTTCCCCCACCCCAGATAAGAGCCAACCTGAGAGGGAGGAGGTCTCCTGTTTGGTGAGCAGCCTCATGCGCACATCCCTTGGCCATCGGGGTGCTGGGCCTGAGGTGAGATGCTCATGTGGCCATTGTCCCCTGACTCATTCCTGCCCCAGCAGCTGAGGGAAGCCTGGGATAAAAGGCTGATGAAGCATCCAGCCTCGTGGTGACCTAATTGGCTGTGTCTCATTAGCCTGCTGGGGCTGACCTGGGGAGCCCTGAGAACCAGGGCAGGGCTGGACAGTGAACTTTCAAGGATTTGGATTCTGGGGCCTATCTCACTCTTTCTTTCTACCTAACCCTCCAGGTACCAGCAACTTCTGGTCCAACCCCTGTGGGCCTTGTAGAGACAGCAGCTGAAGAGAGCTCACCCCGTGGGACACCGGCCAGCAGTGGAGATGGTCAGTAGCCAGGGAGGTGCTAGTACAGGGACCAGAGGGAAGGAATCAGTTAGCACAAGGATGTAGGCTGTGTCTAGGAGGGCCAATGCCTTAATCTCAGGGCCTGTTCTCTTCAGGTTTTGAAGAAGGCCTGACTGTGGCCACAGTGGTAGAGTCAGCCCTCTGTGCTCTGAGAAACTGTGTGGCCTTCATGCCCCCGGGTAAGGCTGATGTCTGGTATATGTGAATATGGTTGGCCAGCCAGGAGCAACTCCTTACTCCCTCCTGTCTTGTGACAGCGGAACAGAACCCTGCCCCACTGGCACAGCCAGAGCCTCTGGTGTGGGTCAGCAAATGGGTTGACTACTCTAACAAGTTTGGCTTTGGGTACCAACTGTCCAGCCGCCGCGTAGCCGTGCTCTTCAATGACGGCACACACATGGCCCTGTCAGCCAACAGAAAGTAAGTGCTGTTGAGCATCCCTTGTACCCAGGCTGTCTACCCAGCAGGGCTGTACCCTGGTGTATGTTTTGGGTCGTAGGAACCTAGGGTTTCTTGGGGTAGGGTATTGGTGCAGGGCTCCCTTTGACCTCTGCTCCCACATTTTCCAGGATGGTGCACTACAACCCCACCAGCACAAAGCACTTCTCCTTCTCCGTGGGTGCTGTGCCCCGGGCTCTGCAGCCTCAGCTGGGCATCCTACGGTATTTCGCCTCCTACATGGAGCAGCACCTCATGAAGGTGTGCAGGCTGGGGTGTGGCACGTTGAGGACTAACACGGGCTGATCCCTCTGATTCGCCTTTGGTGGTGGTGGTGGTGGTGGTGGTGGGGTACAAAGGCAGAGGTTGAACCTATAAGGAAGGCAGGCATCTAGAGGGAGGGGCCTGGGTCCCTTCATACCACTAGCCTGCCCTACCCCTGCTTACAGGGTGGGGATCTGCCCAGCATAGAAGAAGTAGAGGCACCTGCCCCACCCTTGCTGCTGCAGTGGGTTAAGACTGATCAGGCCCTTCTGATGCTGTTCAGTGATGGCACAGTCCAGGTAAGAATGAATTCTGGAGCTGAGGGAAAAGTCTGGGAGGCAGAGGCTGTTGCGAAGGAAACTGTGTCTAGGGCCCTGGTCAGTGTCTCTCTCTTGTCCACAGGTGAACTTCTATGGGGACCACACCAAGCTGATCCTCAGTGGCTGGGAGCCCCTCCTTGTGACTTTTGTGGCCCGAAATCGCAGTGCTTATACTTACCTTGCCTCCCATCTCCAGCAGCTGGGCTGTACCCCAGACCTGCGACAGCGATTGCGCTATGCCCTGCGCCTGCTCCGGGACCGCAGTCCAGCCTAGGCCCCATCCTGCAGAGTGGCCATGTTCCGAGCCCTGAGACCTGGGCCTGTTCCTGTTAAGGTTCCAGCCCTTGCCTTTGTGGCCCATCCTGTTCTTTTGGTGCCTCACTGGGGGCTCTGGGCTGAATCCCCCAAGGAATCAGGGACCAGCTTTACTGGAGTTGGGGGTCGCCTATCCTTGCTGCTCCCTCTCTGAGATAAGCCTGAGCCTTAGCCCCTAGCTAGGGGGCATTATTTATGGACCACTTTTATTTATTGACAGACATTTATTTATTGGGATGTGAGCCCCAGGGGGGTTCTAGAAATAAACCATTTTGCAGAACTTGGAGACCGCCCTACTCACAGTAGAGCCCGTGGACGGTGGCCACCACAAAGAGGGAGGCATTGGTGAAGGATGCGGAGGCCAGTCCGTCGCAGGTCTCATCCCAGAGTGCACGGCTGACCACTTGCACATCCTGCCCGGCACAGGGCCCCAGCACCACATTGCACACCAGCTTGTAGCGTGGTGGGGTACACTCACGCAGGCGCACGTGCACCTGGTCACATAGCTCCCTAGTCAGCTTGCCGGCCTCCGTACCTGAGTAGCCTGAGAAGCGCATGTTGTTCAGCGCAATCTGCAAGGCTGCCTCCAAGGCTTGCTGGGCATGCACAGCCTCCCAGCGCTGCCCAGGTGCAGGCTCCAGCCTGTATGAGGGTGCCACCCGCCGGGCAGTTGTCAGGGGCAACCCTGAGAAACTGATCCTAGAAGCTAGAGGGGATCCTGGTGCCAGAGATGGCCGCCGACCAGAAGCCCCCAGGCCCAGCCCCACCAGCGAGTTGCGTCGTGAGAAGGACAACGGGAGGCCCAGCACAGATCCACGGCGGGAGGCCGGACCCAGGCCTGTGCCTGCTGGTCGGACCTCATCAATGCTGGGCAGGCGGCTTCTAGGCCATACTGGTGGTATTTTGGCCCCCGGGTCTTTGGTGGTCTCCTCCTCCTGATGTCCAGAGACCAGACCCCTGCCAGTCATAGACCTGCAGGTTGGAAAATCCACTCAGGATAGCATTCAATGCCATCTTTCCAAACTACTGATCCTGTCAAGGGATTTTATCCCTGACTTCCCTTTGAACCCAGGACCTTTGCCCTGAGAGAATCTCACTATATATCTCAGACTGGCCTCAAACTTGCCATGCTCTTGCCTCTGCCTCCTGAGAGTACTGAGATTACAGGCTATCACTATCCCTTTTTTTTTTTTTTTGAGAAAGCATCTCATTCTGACCCAGGCTTCTTTGGATTCTGTGATCTAGTGGTTCTCCTGAGCAATTGGAATCACAGGGCCTGGGGACTACAGGCATGTGCCGCCCCATGCAGCTGTCCCTTATTTTAGAGCTTGCAGTAATGTAGCGCTCATGCTATAGGTTCACCACCCCTCCCCTGTCCCATCTTACCTGTTTTCGGAATAAGTGGATCAAACTGGAGCTGCCTGGTTTCCTAGGTGCTTAGAGGACTGTTAGGGACAAGCCAGGAAGAGATGCTACTGTCTGATCCTGAGTTTTACTTTCCCTTAGCCACCACAGAGTTGGCTAGGCAAGCTCTAAATACCCCTAAATAACCTTTGCTTTCTTCCATTCCACCTGACTTAACCGGCGGACAGGGGAGATGAACCTGACTTCTGGCTTACCCCAGACAGGAGAAGTGGAGCCCCCAAATCTTAACCAGGAGTAATAGACAGACCCAACTCTTTCATATCCACGGACCCCTCCAACCTTAGGGTTGTGAAATCCAGTCATTGCTCTATCTTTTCTAGGCAGGACATGAAAGATCCCACAACAGGCGGAGGCTGGAGGCAGGGGAGCTATGGAGCTCTTTCAGCCTCTGACTTCACCTCCTACACAATCGCTTCAGGGATCACCCCTTCTCTTTTTTGCCCTTCTGCTCCTGAAACTCCCTCAGGCCCTTGAGTCACCTACAGACTTTGGCCTCCAAGCACTCCGGGGCTCCACAGGTGTCTCCTAGCTGACTGGGTTGGTGGGGTGGGAGGAAAAGGCAGTGTTGTGTAGTTGCCAAGGGCTGCAGGGCAAGCACTCCTCCCTCCCAGAGTCCCTGACTCCAGCCTGCCTGTGGTAGAACCTGGGAGTGTTACCTGAGCAACTGCTGAAGGGCAACCCCTGAGTGATCAGGGAGAGGTGGCCCAAAGCGGTGAGGCAGTCAGGGGCATATGGCCTCCACAGGCCAAGGGGCCCTGAGCAAACAGGCATCTCATCCAGGGCTCTTTGTGAAATGGTCAGAGAACTGACTGGCCAGTTGTGAGCGAGTCATGGGGGCCTGTGATACGAGGAAATCTTGAAGAGGCCGAGGCAGCTACTCAGGAATCCAAGATTGGGGCCCACAGGAAGGAGCACGTCAGGACTCTGTCTCCCTGTCAGCCTCAACAAGGACAAACATTTCCGCTTGGGGCACAGAGTAAGGGTGGGGCTTGGATGACTTCCTCAGTTCAGGGTTGTGGGGGTGGGGAGGGGAGGCTGGTAGCTCAGCTGGGAGTCCCTGACCCAACAGAGCCTTGGCCCACTCTGGCAAACCCAGACAGTCTCCAGACCTTTGCTAACCCAAGTGCCTGGGGGTGGTCCCCAGCTGGCCACGCCTTTCGGCTGCTTGGGGTCTAGGTTACCGCTTCCCCACAAGCAGCTGCATCTCAGGGATGCCAGAGGCTTTGTGCTTCTGTCAGAACTGATACCTCCTCTGACCCACCTCTAGGAGGGATGGGACTGCTGTCTCTCAAGCTAAGTATGAGTCCTGAAAACCATTTATGGGGGTGGGGTTTTCCCATCTTAGCTAACCTGATCCTAATGATGAGCCTGTGGGGAAGAAGTAGGAAGCCAGGGAAATTGAACTCTGGACCTGGCACAGACAGGAGCCAATGCTAGGGCCCTCTGACTCTGCTTAGGGCCCCTGTACAGGCTGAAATTTTCCCCTGAGCCTGTGGGGAGGTAGGCGGAGCTTCCTTAGGCCCAGCTCCAGTTTCTATGGAAACCCACAGGCTTCCCACCCCCTGGCTGCTTGAGCAGGCTCCTAGCCTGGGCCGCCTCTTCTGCTCTGTCTGCTTCAGCCTTGGCCTCTCCAAGGTCCCTGTCTGTCCTCATTCCTGAGGCCTTGGCCTCCTCACCAGGCCTCTGATGTCTTCTAAAGGAACCTAGGCCTTTTCTTCCTTAAACAGCAGCTTCTCAGCTAACAGGCCTCGCTGACTACTGGCCCTCTCTCAGGCCTCTCTAGTCTCCTCACCACCTTGAGGCCGGGCCAGGGGAAAATAACACACAGCAGCTTCCTGGGCCACTCCAGCCTCATCTCCCCTCGCCTTGCCCATGGAGAGCCCAGGACTGGTCGTGCATGGACAGGCTGCGCCCTTTTCCACAGCGCTCCGAAGCCTTGTCAACAATCCCCAATTCAGGTGAGGGAAGGGGCCCTTTCTGGAGCATGGATTTTACCTCCCTGGCTCTGCTGGGCCCCAGAACTCTTGAGAAGGCCTGGGGTGAGGAATGAGGAATTGGCTGTCATCCCTGGCAAACTTGCGGGAAGGTCAAGTGTGGAGAGTGTTACTGTTCACTGCTTCAGTGACATTCTGAGAGTGGGTGGTAGGGGCTGGTGCTGTGTGAGTTTGGGTAAGGCCTTTCCTTTTCTGGGTTGTGACTGGCTCCTCTTCACAGAGAACAAAAGAGGCTTCAGTCCCTAGACTCTGGGGGATGGGATATAACTTGATACCTTTCTGTGGAGCACGCAGCTAGGTGTTGGGGTTCCTTCCTTCAAGAGGCAGAGGTACTCAAGATCCTGTTCTGGGAACTGGGGATTCACAAGAATTGCTCAAAGGATTGCCCAAACAGGAAAGTAGTTCAAGGGTGCTGCTTATTGCTTGCCCAAGATGCTGATCAGGAGAGCCAAAATGCAACTTCCTGTCCCTCTGCTCAGATCTGAACTCATCTGCAAGGGCTGTGACTCTTTGGGGGGGATAATAGCTGGGCTCAAGCAGTAGGAAACCTTGGCCTTGGATCTGGAACTAGGAGCCACCAGGAGCGTCAAGCTTTTTTTCCTGTCTCTACCCTTCTTTGTTCAGAAGCCCAGAGGCCAAGGCCGGAAGTGATCATGAAGATGGAAAATGTGGTCAGGCTGCATCATGGTGCATCATTACCATGTCTGTCTGCAGTCAATATACTCCCCGAACCCCCCATCCCACCCTCTTGCCTTAAAGAGGTTTGAAAAAAGCTGAGTTGGCAGCCAGCAGAGGAGGCACCCAAAAAGCTTCCTTTCCCTTGTCTTTAGACAGAGGACAGAAGGGGATCGGTCTTGCTTATATCAGCCCTCAGTGACTAAACAGGGCTACTTCCTCTGAGACCTGAAGTTATGAGTAAGACACCTGAGATCTATACTTTTTTTTTTGTACCAGAGATCAAACTCACAACCTCACATTTGCCAAGCAGGTACTTGTGCCACTGAGCTAAACTCCTGGCCTGAAACCTGAGATTTAAAAATAGAAAGTCATTTGCTTGTTGTACCATGGGGCAGAGCTGGAACCAGAACTCAGACCTGGGTGTCCTAGATGACTTTCTGATGGAAGGCTAAGCCCTATCTCTTACATTACAGAAAAGGAAACTAAGGCCTACAGAGGGCCAAGGCAAAGCCCAAGCTGTACCTTGGACTCCTCTCCCCTTACCCTGCCATTCTGTCCTACAGTGATGTCTGCTTTGTGGTTGGTCAAGAACGGCAGGAGGTATTTGCCCACCAGTGCTTGTTGGCCTGTAGATGCAACTTCTTCCAGAGACTTCTGGGCACAGAGTCGGGCCCTGAGGTGCCTAGACCTGTAGTACTGAGCACAGTGCCAGTGGAAGCCTTCTTGGCAGTGCTGGAGTTCCTGTATACCAACAGTGTCAAGCTGTACCGCCACTCTGTAAGCACCCTGAGCAGGGGCTTGGGTGGGAAAGGCTGGGGTGCAGAAGTCTGCCTGCTATACTGTGGTCCCTTGGGCAGGGGAAACTCCCTTCTGTTTCCCCAACCGCCCACTCTACAGGTGCTGGAAGTGCTGACTGCAGCTGTGGAATATGGGCTGGAGGAACTGCGAGAGGTGCGTTTTTGTGCCAGGCCCTCTTCTTTTGTCTCTCAGTTCACACCCTGCTTCATAAACACCCTGACTTAGAAGGAACATGTCACACAGACAGAAGCGTAGATATTTCTCCATGTGTGCAGGGCATGTTTTGTACCTGGGTGTAAAGGATGTATGCTGGGCAGGCACAAGAGTGGTGATAACTGCATAAGGACAAATCACCCTTGATCCCTGAGAGGTGAGAACCTGGTGGCAGTGTGTGACAGATGAGGATGAGCCACACTGAGGTTGTGTGGGGAAAGAATGCCTGGCAGAGGGATCATTTGTGTTGGATTTGGCAGAAGGAAGACTTTGTCAGAGGGTAAATTGTTATAGTCAGAGTCACCAAAGGAGCTAGTGAGACATTTTGTGACGAGGCTAGAAATGAGAGAAGAGATGGGACAAGATGAGACTGGAGAGGAGGGGGAATAGGGTCTGGTTCATGCAAGAGCTTCAAGAATCTGAACTTTCTGCCAAGCGTGGTGGCACACACCTGTAATCCCAGCACTTGGGAGGCTGAGGCAGAAGGATTGTTGCAAGTTCGAGACCAGCCTGTGCTACAAAGTGAGCATAGTGAGACTCTGTCTCAAAAAGATTTAAAAAAGAGAGAGAATCTGAACTTTCATATACTTGTAATCTCAGCACTTGGGAGAGTGAGGCAGGAGGGTCATCATGAGTTCGAGGCCAGCTTGAGCTACATAGTGAGTTCCAGGCCAGCCTGAACTACAATGAGCCCTTCCGCCCATTCCCTAGTCTGGGCTTTAAGCTGAACTGGGCAGCTCCCTACTACAAGCCTACTCAGTGCTTTTGGGATGCAACTCAGGACATTTCCACATAGCTCACACTCATTTCTGTTCCCAGCTGTGCCTGGAGTTTGTGGAGAAGGTGCTGGATGTGGAGCTAGCTTGTGAGGCCCTGCAGGTGGGTGTTGCTGGACAGGCCTGAGAGAAGTCTGTCTTTCAGTATGTAGTACAGGGCTCCAGGTGTGAGGAACTCAGCATATAACATATATGGCCTAGCCAGGCATGGAATTCAAGGCCCGCCTGAGCTGCATAGCAATATCCTGTTTCAAAACGAACCAAAACCACCCTAAAAACACCTAACCAAACGAAAAAACCTGTTGGGGCTAGAACAATTTGGAAACTTGAGAAGATGCAGAAGTGCTCCAAGGATGTTTATGGGATAAAACCAGCGCCTAGATCTGTTGGATGTAGAGTACATTGGCAGGGTGAGGTGCAGGAGTCAGAGCCAGAGCAAGTCAGGAGGTCTTTGCTGGTCATCAATCAGGACTGAAGAAGGGAAAGTACAGGGTATGGAACTGAAAAGCCAAGCCTAGGCTCTGGGGTGGAGTTTGAAGACAATGCTTGGTCTCCTTTAGTGTCTGCTTTCATGTGCATGCGTCAGTGGGGACTTCCACTAAGTTTAATTCCCAGGAGGCTATAGGCCTCAGTCAACCTCCCTAGTTATGCTAGGGTCAGTTTTGCAGTGATGTTCCAATGTGAAGGACTGAGGGTCCCTTCAGTCTCCAACCTGACATCCCTCATTCTCCCAGGTGGCTGTCACCTTCGGCCTAGGGCCGCTGCGGGAGCGGTGTATAGCTTTCATAGAAGCCAATAGCCAGGTACCACTCTTCATCTACATACTGCTCAGCCCACCCAGTTCATCCTGCTCCCCACTGACCCACTCGTCGACCTATAGGAGGCGCTACGGACCCACAGCTTCCTGGAGTTGTCGGCCGCTGCGCTGCTGCCTCTGCTGCAGAGCGACAAGCTCTGCGTGGACGAGGCTGAGCTAGTCCGGGCTGCCCGGAGCTGGGCGCGTGTGGGAGCGGTGAGTGGGGACGGGAGGAGCGCGAGAGCACTGATGGCAGCGCTGGCCGCGGGAACCTGGTCAGCCAGCGGCGGACAGGTGCCCCGGGCTCAGGGCTGGTGTTCACAGGCCGTGCTGGAGCGGCCGGTGGCAGAGGTGGCGGCCCCGGTGGTGCGAGAGCTGAGACTGGCTTTGCTGGCCCCGGCGGAACTCAGCGCCCTGGAAGAACAGAACCGGGGGGAGCCGCTTATCCCGGTGAGGACGCGGGGCACCGGGGTCCGCTGCTGGCAGCGTGGCGGAGGGGAGCTGGAGGGCGTGATTTGGCTCAGGGTTTTCGGGAAAACTGGCGCTGCAAGAAATGCGGTGACCCCTTCTCTTCTAGGTGGAGCAAATTGTGGAGGCGTGGAAGTGCCACGCCCTGCGTAGAGGAAACCCAGCCCAGGGCGCACAGTGCCGCCGCCGGAAGGGTACTCTGCCCCGGGAGCACCACCGATTTCTGGGCCTGCCCTTCAGATGACGCCAGGCCACAATGTGCGAGGAATTCTGAGGCAGTCTACACTACAACTCCCGACACGCTCTGTGCTTGCAGTGGGTTTCCGCTCCCGGCATGCTTGGCGAGCCCCGGGCTGGAAGAATCATTCTCTGCCGGCTCTGAGCCGGCTGCTTGGGCGAGGCCTAGAGAGCGGTTCAGGGAGGGGACAGCGAGACCTGAAACCTAGGCTTCTTTCCCTCCACGCCCTCACTCTCCTAAATGGTCTGCTCTCTTGACTCTCGGGTATCTGTTCAGTTCAGCCTCCTTGTAGACCTGCTTCTTAGAGCTCTCTCCCTGAGTGCCCCCAGGCGGACAGGACAGTGCCAGAGTCCCTCATCTTTCCTAAACTGTGCTTCCATCCGGTCTGTCATTTGCGTGGGTGCCCACGCCAGACACTTGGAGTTCATCCTTGCCTCCCCCTTCTCTCACCTGCCTCAGGTCATCTGTCTCCTGCGAGAGCTTCCCACTGGCCGGTGCCGCCCAGTCACATCTGACTGGTCTTTCAGCGTCCACTCCAGCGCCCCCTCCAGTTATTTCCAACACTGCAGCCTGCGCATCCCTAACCTTAGCCTCTCTCCCTAAATCCTTCATTCCATTTTACTTTTTTATCTTTTGTGGTACGGGGAATTGAATTCTCAGCCTCGCGCTTGCCAGGCAGACGCTTATGCCACTGAGCTAAATAACTGCCCTTCCATTTCACTTTTGGATACTCCAAACTGCTGTGGCTCCTAAACATTTATTTATTTATTTATTTATTTTCTACTTGCTTTTGGTACTGGGAATTGAACTCAGGACGTTGACCTTGCCAGGCAGGCGCTTAGATTCCTAAACATTTAGCAACTCTTTTTTTGAACTCTGCCTTTGCGCAAATTTATTCGTTTGAGACATATAGTCCTTCCAGTTCTGGATTTTCTCTGTTACTGAAAAAAAAAAAATTTGTTCTTTGAAACAGGGTCTCACCGTGTAGCCCACGCTGGCCTTGAAGTGCCCCTCCTTGTGTCAGCCTCTCAAATACTAAGATTACAGGTGTGCACCACCACACCACACTTGAAGACTTCTCTTGCTCCCTCTATAACGTATGATCATACACTTTGTCTTCCAGTAAACTTGAATCTCCAAAAGAAAGATCCCTGGAACCTGGGATAGTGCCTTATTTATTTGTTTCTTCCATCCCTGTCACATAATCCGTTTTTTATTTTTTAAATTTATTTTAATTAAAAAAAATTTTTTTTGAGACTGGGTTTTGCTGTGTGGTTTTTCAGACTGGCCTTGAACTCATTATGTAGTCCAGGCTGATCTAGAACTCATGGTGATCTTGCCTCAGCCTCCCAAGTGTGGGATCACAAGCATGGAGCCCATACTACATAATCTGTTTTTAAAATTTTGTTTTATAATTCATTTTTAAAAGATTGGGTGAATGACTATTTTCCCATTTAAATGTTACCTTATTCCACAGTTATTGTTTTACTTTTTTAAAAAAAATAGTACTTTTGAAAAGCTTTTGAACTCTTCTCAACTAGTGATTATCCTCATGTTCAGATTACTAAACACTCGTCTAGGGCCAGGGTATTAGTTCAGCAGCTCAAGTGCTTGCCTAGTAAGGTGAAATTGTGAGTCTGATCTCTGGTACCAAAAAAAGAAGAAAAAAAACACATCTAAAAATAGCAAAACAAAAGAAAATAGATGTCTCCTAATAAACAAAATGAGTAAACATTTGGCTTCTTCGTTGATATTAAATGATTTGGTTCTAAAAAAAAAAGTGATTTGGTTCTAAAAATACTACAAATAGTTGCAGTTAACTTTAGTTACACTAAAATTTTTTTTAGCTCTCCAGTGTTCAGAGAGTCAACTTCCATGGTAGACATTATACACAGAGCCTTGAGAGTCGTTCGCACAGAAAATCACCTGAACTTAACTAATCAATGTACTGATTAAAAAATTATCTGTGACCAAAAGCATTGTCCTGTTTATTAAACACCTAATTATATTTAAAAAGCTGAGAAGCAGCTTGAGACGGTGGCCCTTACAGCTCTTGCTATAAAATAGTTGCCAGTCTGACATGAGTGTCTGAAAAGAATGACAGGAATTAAAGGTTCTGCTTAAGTTCAAGGGAACTTTCTAGAAGCAAGTGGAGGGCCAAGAATCTATCTACCTGCTTGGTGGCAGCTCATGAAGGGGAGAGGCCAAGATTTGTTGAATTCTTGTAATACAGAGGATGAGATGAAGGAACATCTGTGATGTCATCTCCCAGTGGGTTTCAATGAGACAGCACTTCCGTGTAAGAAACGGGGTGAAGGGGCTGGGGATTTAGCTCGGCGACATAAGCACCTGCCTTGCATGTGTGCAGTCATGAGTTTGATCTTGGCTCCTCCCCCCCAAAAAAGGAGGTGGGGCAGTGAAAGATTTTCCATCACTCTACTGTCACATATGGAATTAACATCCTATGGGGGTGGCGAAACAACCAACTGCAAACATGGATTTCATTGAACCATTGAAAGATCATTGTTCTTCAGATTTTATTGTCTCTGTTTTATAAAGCTAACTCTGCTATTGTTTTCTTCTTTTCCAATTTCTTACTCTGCTTTCCCATTTCCACCTTCAGTGTTCATACCTGTCTGTTCTGTAAACCAGGACCCATGTAATGCCCTGTACCAACTGCCTGCATCCAGAGATGAGAATGTTGGATGAGACTGGCTGCAAACAGATGCTCATCTCACACTTCGGTCCCTGCACTCCCACCCAAAGAGGGGAAGTGCTCAAGAGGCAGGAAGAGATAAGTGTAAAGGACTTCATCTGGATTCTGTGACCACTGAGTCTGTTTTACTTTTTTATTAATCACAGGGTGAGCCTGGCAGGGTGGCATATGCCTGAAATCCTAGCATCTGAGAGGCTGAGAGTCAAGAGAATCAGGAGTTTGAGAACTGTGTGGGCTACATAGTGAGTTTAAGGCCAGCCATGGATGGCCACTATAGTGGGGAGATTTTGTCTCAAAAAACCCAAAAAAGCCAAAACAACAACAACAAAAAAGTATTAAAAAAAAAAAAAAAAAGGGCTGGAGTTTTAGCTCAGTGGCATAAGCGCCTGCCTGGCAAGTGCAAGGTTGTGAGTTCAATCCCTGGTACCAGAAGAAAAAAATGTTTAAAAAAACCCCCAAAAGATCAGGCATGATGGTGGGTATACCTGCAGTCCCAGCACTTGGAAAGCCGAGACAGGAGAATCATTACAAATTCAAGGCCAGTTTGGCAAACAGTGAACTTAAGCTCAATCTGCACTACATGGGGAGATCCTCTCAGGAAAACAACAACAAAAAAAAGCCTGGTGTGATGGTGCACACTTGGAATCCCAGCATTCAAATCTGAGCCAGGAGTATTGCTATGATTTTGAGGCCAGCTGGGCTGTGGTTAAGTTCAAGCCTGGCCTGCACTACATAGTGAGACCCTGTGTTTAATTAATTAATTAATTAATAAAAAGCTTTTTTTTTTTTCATTGTGGTGGCTCATGATACACAATGGGGATGCATATGGTTGTGATGTTGGTTCAATTAGCTGTCAACTAAAGAGGAAGGAGCCAGACTTTTGGTTTCCAAATCACTGCTCTACAGATGCTGTGGAAGGGCAAGACCTGATCTTATAGTATAACATCTACAGGGCTGGGGATTTATTTATTTATTTGTTTTTGTCTTTCTTGTTTTTATCGGTACCAGGGATCGAACTCACGACCCCACACCGCTGAGCTAAATCTTCAGCCCCTAGGGCTGGGGATGGGGCTGGGGATCTAGCTCAGTGACACAAACGCCTGCCTGGCAACACAAGATCTTGAGTTTGGTCCCTGCACAATGTTGGCTCAAGTCCTGCATTGGATGTGTAATTATCTGATGATTCCTTCTGCCCTAGAAGACTTTGACATTGGTTGTGGTATGCTCAGGGTCAAATGGGACCGGATTGACCCCACTAGCAACAATTCCACACTGTGGTTCTACATCTTAAGACTAGTTACTTCGGCTTCACCTTGGAAAACATCACAAATCTGGCCCAAGAGGACAGGCCTGTTATGATTGGCTCTGCCAGTGCCCTTGGAGAGTATGGGTTCCTGGCTCTGCAAAACTTTGATAGGAGATTCTCCTCCTGCTTTCTGGACTGGGCAGCCTTTGCAATTATGCTCTCCCCCTTCATTGGGATCCCTCTGCTTTTGTGACAGTTCAGCAAACCCAAGAAAAACTGAGTGAAGTTCTGTGCCCCCCTCTCCCAAGAAACTAGGTATTTCCCAGATTCCAGAGGGTCTTTCAAATGTAATCTCTTCATCATTGGCCCTTGGCCACCTCCTGGATCCTGCTCTCATCTAGAGTGAAGGACCAAACCTGGAAATCTTTGGGAGCCTCCTTGGTTCCACCTTAAAGTCATACAAACAGGGATGCCTTTGGGCACAGCCTTCAACCCAGAGGGTCTCTGGGGCCCTGCTGAGGTGCTATTGATGTACTGCTAGCAACGTTTACCCTTGGGGGTGTAGAAGAGGCCTTTGGAGGCAGCCCAAGCCCACCCTACTTTGCCCCCCCCTTCCCCTCAGAAAGCAGTGGGACTCAGAGGCCACCCAGTGTCTGAGTAAACAAGTACTTACCAGATATCAAGGACCTGGCCAAGATCTCCAATCTCTCAAATGAGTGTATGGCAAAGGCTTAAATAAATGAGACAAGTAGTATAATTTTAGGGCTCCAGGAGAATCAAAACCCTCTAACAGAGTTCGAGACTCTGGGGGCTGAGACAAAGAGGCAGCCCATATTTATTAGGTTTTCAAACAAAGAGAGGGGATACTGAGAAAAGCTTGGGAATTGAGCAAGAACTTGGGAGTCACTTCAAAGGTTTCTCCAAGTAGTAAATTATGCCAATTTAGGCGAACTGTCTCATCTCCATGATGACATTTATGGTGAGAATGAGACAGCAGGAGTGAGATGCCCACAGGTGCAGTCTGCTTAATTGGGGTTATAGCCAGGTGTCCTCAGCTGAGGCCTTACCTTGCCCTTTGAGGTGTCTCTGGCATCACAGGCCACTATAGGTCCCAGCGAGGACCAGTGATTCATAGAGGTTCACTTAATATGAATCTGCTGCCCATGTTCAGAAAGGGGGTTTAGGCCTAGCACAGACTCACAGATAAACACAGAAAGCCAATTAGTAGTTTATTTTAATCCTGCTCAGAGCTGCTTTGTAGGGGTCTCCATCAACCAAAACTGATCTTCTAATAAAAGCAAATACCATAGGGCTGAAGGTATCGCTCAGTGGCACAGTGCCTGCCTGGAAAGCGTGAGATCATGAGTTCTATTCCTGGTAACCAAAACCAAAACAAACAAAAAATACCATACAGACACAAAAAGCAGGCATGGACTGGGCATTTAGCATTAAAGCCTGCATAGCAAGTGCTAGATCATGAATTTGATCCCTGATACAAAAAAAAAAACAAAACAAAACACACACAAAAAACCAGCCAGGCATAGTGGTGCATGCCTCTAATTCCAGCACTCAGGAGGCTGAGGCAAGATCACCACAAATTGGAGGCCAGCCTGGACTACCTAGTGAGTTTAGGACCAGCCTGAGCTATGCAAACAGATCATGTTTCAAAAACCCAAATTAGGGGATGTGGCAGACTGGTCTGGGAGTGAAACACCTTAGTAGAGTCAGGATACTTGTGTTTAAATCCCACCTTTGTCACTTAGTGCCTTTGTGACTTGTGTGCAACTATTCCATCATTCTGTGCCTCAGTTTCATTATTTATTTTGTGATACCAGGGATTGAACTCTGAGCCTTTCCCATGTTAGACAAATGTTCTACCACTAATTTATATCCCAGTTCAGTTTTATTATTTATAAAGTGTATATGATAACAGAACCTATTTAGTTGAATGTCCAGCAACCTGGGAGGTTGAGCCAGGAAAATCACAAGTCTGAGTACTTGGCAAACAAGCAATTTAGTGAGACAGACCAAAAAAAAAGTACCTGTTTAATTAGCAAAATGAAGCTAGTTAATTTTGTGAAGCTCTTTGAATGCTGCTTGCAATCTCAGCACTCTGAAAGCTGAGACAGGAGGATCAGTTTGTATTTGAGGCCAGGTTGGGTTACAAAAGTTTACACTATATGGTGAGGCCCTGTGTCAAAAAAACCAAAAAGAGGGGCCAAGGATTTAGCTCGCAGCGAAGTGCCTAACAGGTACAAGGACCTGAGTTTGATTCCTGGTCTCCCCTCATCCCACAAAAAATAAAAACACCAAAACAAAAAATGATCTCCCTAAAGTAACTGTAGAGAGTCAGATTACTGAATTTTGTTTAGAAAATAACTGTAGGCTAAGGAAATAGCTCAGTGGCATAAGCACGTGCTTGTCAAGTGCAAGGTTTTGATTTGATTCCTACTACTGAAAAAAAAAAAAACCCAAAAATCAAATACAAGGACAACTAAAACTTTAATTTTTTTAAATGCTAATTTACAACCATGCTCCATACATTAACTTCAGCATCATGTAGTGTGTCAGAATAACTCAAACATACCTCACAAAGTTAAAAACCTAGGACTTACAAAAATAAGCAGGTGTGCTGAATTGAAGTCAGATACTTTTCATTACAAACACTATGGGAAAGTTACTTTAAAACCCTTTCTTTACCTATTAAGCATATCTGAAAACAAACTATTCTGCAAACACTTGAACTTGTACAGCAGTGCTAAGGGGAAACCTGTTACTCTATATTGGTTAGCAGTGTGTACTAAAACTTAGTTTCTCCATCATAGAAGTCTTTAAAAAAAAAACTTACAAAAACTGGCAGTTTCCCACTGCCAAGTCCCAAAGAGAGAGAACCCTTATTACTATTATGGTTGTTCAGTATCTGACCGCCGCACGCCACCTGACTACACTTCATGTAAGCGTAAATTTTCCCTCCGCACCCCACTACTGCAGGACAATACCTGCGGGAATCGGTCTCAAGTAGTCAGAGTGATCTTCTCGTGGTGCACTATGGGTATGCAAATTAGGGCGGCCGGCGGCGGTTGGCTAATCCCGGTTGTGGAGGTGTAGCTCTCTACTGCTCCTGCGTTCTGTGTGCTCGAGGTACCGGAGCTTCCCGCGGACCTTGTACCCAGTGTTTCCTCTCACCCGACCTGGGAGTGAGAAGTTACCGTTCCCAGTGGAAGGAGTCTCCTGGTCTTTCCTCGTCGGTGTGCAAGGAGGCAGAAACAAAAACCGTCAGGTGCAGTGCTCTGGGGCAGTGGACCTGGCTCCGACGGCGCATCGCTAACATACAAGCCTTGGAGCCCTGCCTCCATTTAATTAAAAAATCAGTACGTATTTGCAGTATGTAATAATTATATTTGGTACGTACATGTACGTCGTCGTGTGTGTGTGAGTGAAAGAGAGAGCGAGAGAGTCAGAGAGAGACAGAGCCAGGATTTCCTTATGTAGTTGAGGATCGGCTTGAACTCACAGCTGTCCTGCCTCAGCCTCCTAAGTGCTGGGACTGTAGGCGTGCGTCACCACACCTACATACATATATATCTTAATTCTTTCTTTGATCCTTTCCCTTCCCCTCCTTACCCCCATCTCTTGATCCCCTTCCCACTTGTGAAAGATATGTCTTCCTTGTATCTATTATCTCTCTCTCTCTTTTTTCTTTTTATCGTTACCGGGGATCGAACTCACGACTACCTGCTTGCAAGGCAGGCGCTTATGCCGCTGAGCTAAATCCCCAGCCCGTCTATTATCTCTTACTTTGTATTTAATTGTATTTTGGGGCTCTCATATACGCGAAAACATGTGATATTTAAGCTTGAGTGATTTATTTCACTTAACATGTTTCAAAGTATTCAAGTTTATCCTTTGTGGTAGAGCAGCACTTCATTGTGTGCAAATACCACCTTTTCTTTTCTTTACTTTCTGTTTCTTTTCTTTTTTTGGTACCCAGGATTGAACTCACAACCTCGGGCTTGCCAGGGAGACGCTTATGCTGCTAAGCTAAATGCTAGATCCCCCTTTTTCTTTTTAAACCACATTTTAAAAAAATGTATTCGTCTTTTGGTGGACATATAGGCTAATTCCAAGATTTGGCTATTAGGAATTGTGTTCATGCCTATAATCCCAGCACTTGGGAGCCTGAGGCAGGAGGATCATTGGAAGTTTGAGATCACGCTGAGCTAAACTACAAAGTGAGCTAATGGTCAGCCTCAACTACATAGCAAGATGCTGTCTCAAAAAAAAAAAAAAAAAAGAATTGTGCTACTAATAATGGCTGGAATTTTTTTCCTGTACAAGTGGTGATTTACTTATTTTCTTTGAATCTATTATATTTCACAGAGAAAAAAACCCCCAAAATTTTAAAACACAGCAATCAACGGGCAACAGTGGTGCATACATGGCATATAAGCAGCCTCAAATCATTCATCCAGAGCACAAGACATCCACATTCAATTGGCAGAACAATACCAGCACAAATCATCTCTTCAATGAACTCAGAGAAATCAGTAGTATATTAATTTTTTATGTACATACACTTATACATGTTTTTTCTTTCAGCTTCTCATGCTAATGAAACAATATGATGTTTACATGTATGTGTCTTATTTCATCATTGAGTATGTTCTTAAGTTGCATCCATTTATAAAAGTTTCCAGTTTATCCTTCTTTGTGACTGAGTAGTACTCTATTGTATAAAAATACCACATGTTAGGCTGAGGATTTAGCTCAGTAGTATAAGTGCCTGCCTGGCAAGTGCAAGGTCCTGAGTTCAATCCCCAGTACAAAACAACAACAACAAAAACACATCTTTTTTATCCATTCCTCAGTCAATGGGCATTTAGATTGTTTCCAAGATCTGGTTATTACAAACTGTACTGCTATAATCATGAGTGCACATATGTCACTGTGGTATGATGTTTTTAATTCTTTTGGGAAGATACCCAGAAAGGGAATAGCTGAGTTAAATGGGACCTATTATCCTAGTGGTTTTTTTTTTTTTTTTTTTTTTGTCTTTTTTGAGGCGGGGTCTCAATATGCAGTTCGGGCTGGCCTTGAGCTCACTTTGTAGCCCAGGCTGGTCTCGAACTTGCAACGATCCTCCCACCTCAGCCTCTCGAGTGCTGGGATTACAGGTGTGAGCCACCACGCCCAGATATCCTAGTGTTTTGAGGAATCGCCGTATTGATTTCCACAATGGGATTGCACCAGTCTACATTCCCACCAACTGTGGAAGGGTTACTTTTTTCCCACAGCTCCTCCAGCATTTGTTATTCCTTGATTTCTTGATGGTAGCCATTCTTTCCAGGGTGAGATAGAATCTCAGTGTTGTCTCAATTTGCATCTCTTGAATGACCAGTGATGTTGAACATTTTTTCACATTTATTTGATGATTTCTTAATCTGAGAAGTGCATTTTTATCTCTGATGCCTGTTTTTGGATTGGGTCTTTAAATCTAGGAGGACTGATTTATTTTGGGTGCTTTATACATTCTCGGTAGCAATCCTTTGTCCAGGAACAACTGGCAAACATTTTCTCCCACTTGGTGGGTTGTCTCTTCACTCTGTTGGTGATTTCTCTTGCTGTGCAAAAGCTTTTCAATAGGGTGAGATCCCAGTTGCTGATTCTTTGTGATAGTTCCTGTGCAATCCACATCTTGTTCATAAAGTCTTTGCCTATACCATATCTTCAAGAGTTATTCTTCCAGCAGACTTAATGTTTCTGTTTTAATATTAAGATCTTTGATCCATTCTGATTTTAGCTTAGTACATGGTGAAAGAGATGGGTCCAGTTTTAATCTTCAGCATGTATAGAGCCAGTTTTTCCAGCACCATTTATTAAAGTGGCTTAGTGTGTCTGGAATGTTCATGTGTCGGTTCCTTGATCTTTGGGTCTTTTTTTTTGGTCAGTACCACACTGTTTTTATCACAGTAGCTTTGTAGGTATAATGTCAAGACAGAGATTGTGATACGCCCTGTCTTGTTATTGTTGCCCAGTATTGCCTGTGCTATTCTAGATCTTTTCTGGTTCCAGATGAATTTTAGAATTGTTTTCTCTAATTCTATGAGATATGCTGTTGGAATTGCCTTGAATGTGTATAACAGTTATGGAAGTATGGCCATTTTCACTATATTGGTTCTTCTTATCCAAAAGCATGGGATATCTCTCCAATTTCTTTTCTTTTTCTTTCTTTCTTTTCTTTTTTTTTTTTTTTTTTGTACTGGGGATGGAATTCATGACCTTATGCTTGCCAGGCAGACACTTATACCACTGAGCTAAATCCAGCCACTCCAATTTCTAATATCCTCTTCAATCTCCTTTTTCAGAGTACTATAGTTTTCAACATAGAGGTCTTTTACATCCTTTGTTAGACTGATTCCTAGGTATTTCATTTTTTGGAAGCTATTGCAAAAGGTGTTCTTTCTCTGATTTCTCAGTTTGTTATTCGTGTAAAAGAAAGCTATTGATTTTTTGAGTGTTGACTTTGTATTTAGCTACCCTACTGAATTTGCTTATTAAATCTAGTAGACTTTTGGTGAAGATTTTGGGATATTCCATGTAAAGTATCATGTTATCAACAAATAACAATAGTTTAACTTTTTCCTTTCCTATCTTTATTTCTTTTATTTTTTCCTCTCATCTAATTGCTAAAGTTTCCAGGACTGTGTTGAATAAGAGTGGAGGCAGTGGACAGCCTTGTCTTGTTCCTGGTTTTAGAGTGAACACTTTCAGTTTTTGTCCATTTAGTATGATGCTGGCTATTGGTTGCATAGATGGTTTTAGTAAATGTTCTAAACCCATTTGTTCAAAAGTTTGGTTTAGTTCCTTTTTTTAAATTTAGCAATGGTTGTTATATTGCATATTGTTATCCTCAAAGTGTTTAGCACTAATGTTTCATTACTGATTTTTTTTCTAGTTGATCAGTTTTTTTTTTGTTGTTTTTGTTTTTGATTTGTCTTTTTGTGACAGTTTGAGGTCTCCCAAGACAATTGTATTAGAGCCTATTTGATTTTTCATGTCTGTTAGTAATTGTTTTATATAGCTGGGTACACTGGTATTTGTTGCATATATGTTTATGATTGTTATCTGCTCTTCTTTTTTTTTTTTTCCACTTGTGATTTTCTTTGAAATCTGCTCTTCTTGGATTGTTCCCTTTATGAGTATATAGTGACCTTCTTTATCTCTCTTAATCAGTCTTGGCTTCAAATTCACTTTGTCTGCAAGTAGAATAGCTACCCGTGCTTTCCCATCACATACAGTATTGTTTTCCATCCTTTGACTTAAGTCTATGAATTTCTTTTTAAATTAAATGTGTTCCTTCTGCAGGATATTGTTGGATCTTGCTTCCAAGGTCGTCAGCTGTGACCGTCACCATAACCACGCGTCCATAGTTTCAAGCTGCTCCTCTGGCACAAAATGAGTCCTGTCTCAGGAAGAAGGCTCTCCCAGCTACCACCACCTTCTTCTTTCTCCTATTCCTCTTTTTCTTCTTGCTTTTCCTCTTCCTTTTCTTCTCCTTCTTCATCTTTTTGGTAATGAGGATCAAACTCACAACCTCATGCCTCCAAGTAGGCGCTTATGCCACTGAGTTAAATCCTTGGCCCTATCCGCTTCTATTTTGTTCAAGTTTTTTTCTCAAATGGAATTTCTGTTTTTACTTTTAGGTTTTTTGTTTTTGTTTTTGTTTTTGTTTTTAACAGGGTCTCCTATGCAGTTCAGGCTGGCCTTAGAATCAGTAGGTAACTCAGGCTGGCCTTAAACTTTTTTTCTTTGGTACTAGGGATTGAAATCATGACTTTTTGCTTGTCAAGCACACGATTGTGCCACTGAGCTAAACCCCAAGCCCTGGCCTTAAACTTATGGAGAGTCCCCTGCCTCAGTTTCCTGAGTGCTGAGATTACAGGTATGCACTACCACATCTCACTATTTTTAATGTTTTTGAGGGTTCTCTATACTGATTTCCACAGTGGTTGTACTAGTTTACATTCCTACCAATAATGTAGAAGGGTTCTTTTTATCCTACAGGCTCCCTAGCATTTTTCATGATTTGAATTCTTTTTTTTTTTTTGGTGCTGAGGATTGAACTCATGACTTCGTACTTGCCAAGCAGGCACTTAAACTGCTGAGCTAAACCCTGGGTCCCATTTTTTGATTTCTTGATGCTATTCTTTCTGGTGTAAGATGGAAATTTTTTTGGCTTTTTTTTTTTTTTTTTTTTTTTTTTGAGACAAGGTCTTGCTATGCAGTTCAGGCTGGCCTTGAGCTCACTTTGTAGCCCAGGCTGGTCTCGAACTCACAATGATTGTCCTGCCGCAGCCTCCCGAGTGCTGGGATTATAGGCATGAGCCACCACGCCCGACTGTGAGATGGAATTTGTGTTGTTTAAATTTTCATTTCTCTAATGGCCTGTGATGTTGAACTTTTTTTCATGTATTTATTAGTTATTTGTGTACTAAGAAGTAATTATTTCAGTTTCCCATTTTTTGATTGGGTCTTTTATTTTTTAATTTTTAAGTCTTTTGGTACTAGGAATCAAACTCAGGACCTCACACTTGCCAGGTTTGTGCTATGGGTCTGGGTCTTTAATTTTCAGGAGCATAATTCCTTTTAGCTCTTTACATTATTCCTCTGTCTAAGGAATAGCTGCCAAAAAATTTTCCCATTGCATATGTTGTCTCTCTATTGTTTCTTTTGCTGTGCCAAAGCTTTTTTTAAAGTTTTTTTTTTTTTTTATCGGTACTGGGGATTAAACTCACGACTGCGTTTGCAAGGCAGGTGCTTATGCCGCTGAGTTAAATCCCCAGCCCTAAAGCTTTTTAATTTGTTATGATCTCATTTGCTTATTCTTAGTACTAGTTCCTGTGCACCTGGGTTCTATTGACAAAGTCCTGCCTATATCTATGACTTTATGACTATTTCCTATTTTATCTTCCATCAGATTATTTCTGTTTTAACATTTGGATCTTTGATCCATTTTGATTTTTTTTTTTTTAATATCGGTACCGGGGATTGAACTCACGACTGCCTGCTTGCAAGGCAGGTGCTTATGCCGCTGAGCTAAATTCCCAGCCCCGATCCATTTTGATTTTAATGTAGTACTTTCAATTAATATTTTTTTTTTTTTTTTACTCTGACAACCTTGGATCTCAACATCTTTTTTTTTTTTTTTTTTTTTTAAAGAGGATCTCATTATTTAGTTCAGTCTGACCTTGAACTTACTGTATATCCTAGGCTGGTCTTGGCAATTTTTCTGGCTCAGCCTCCTTTTTTTTTTTTTTTTTTTTTAATTGGTACCGGGGATTGAACTCATGACCTGCTTGCAAGGCTTATGCCAATGAGCTAAATCCCCAGCCCCATCAGCCTCCTAAGAGATGGAATTATAGGCATGCCCCACCCTACTCAGGTCGACACTGTTTTAAACCAGATTTTTTTTTTTTTTTTTTTTTTTTGAGTACTGAGGATAGAATCCAAGTCTTTGCACTAAGCTATTACCCCTCCCATTTGTTTTCAGATTGGACTTCAATTTGTGATTCTCTTGCCTCAGCCTCCCAGAGTGCTGGGATTACAGGCATGTGCCACCACACCTGACTTTTTTCTTCCTTAACGTGAAATAAATCTTTATGTACTGAAAACATATGCTATTGTTTTGTTTTGTTTTAGACAGGGTCTTGCTGTGCAGTCCAGGCTGGTTTGAATTCACAATATAGCACAGGCTATTCTTGAATTCTCAATGGTTCTCCTACCTTGGCCCTCTGAGTCCTAGGGTTACAGACTGCACCACCAGGCCCAGCAAAAAAAAAGGAATTCACCCTTAATGAAATGACTTTGGAAATAATGTACATTTCCACGACACAAACACTGTAGTTTTCAGAGTCACAGTAAGATATCCAGAATACATCCATAATTATTTATAAGTGTCAACATTTCAAGCAGTTGTTTCTTTCTTTTTAACTTTTTTTTACTTTTGGGTTCTGGGAATGCAACTTAAGACCTTGCACTTGCCTGACAGATGCTGTGCTGCTGAGCTATATCTCTGGCTCTCAAACAGTAATTTCTTTTTTCTTTCTTTCTGGTACTGGGGAATCGAACTTATGACCTTGTGCTTGCCAGGTGCCTGTGCAGCTGAGCTAAATCCCCAGTAAAGCAATAATTTCTGCTACATAGCAAACAAGATCAAGAAACCAACTACCAAACAAGAGAGACCCATAGTTTCAGACAAGGCAAATCCTAGGATAGCATGAGAACAGCTACTGTTTCAACAAAGGTGTAAGGCGTAAGCAATGGCAAGGCTGCCAGAGACTTTGATACCAGCGCCCAGACCAGCCACTTCTATTGCTGTAGCACCTGGACCAATAAACTGGGCAGCAGTATCAATGTCTCTGCTAATTGCACTGGTCTGAAACTCCCTTCTGATTAGCTGACACACCCTGCTCTGGGCCCCATTAAATGCTGTAGAGCTCTCTCTAGTCCTAGCCTCCAGCTGAGGTAAAACTGATGCAGAAATGATCTGTATGCTACTCTGGCTCCAGCTTGGATCAGAGCAGGGTACAGGTGAGGTTGGTGTGGGCAAAGTTTAGTCTCTGCAGGGGTGTGGCTGGCGGATGTGGGTAACTGGCGATGCGGGCCCCCTTCCTGTTTCCTCTCCATGAGGTAATGAAGGCAGCAGAGGTTGAGGGAGCAGAGCTCAAAAAAATGATTTTTAAAATGTGGACTTCTTTGTGCATTTGTGTGTTATCCTTGTGCATTTCTCTGTATCATTACAATGTTAGTAAATATGCTGCTTGCACTCTGTCCCACTTTTAGACAGTTTAACATTCTTAGTTGTATTAGCCAGCGTGTGACTTTGGCTCAGAAGACAGCTGTCTGTGAAAACGATTTGAATCAGGAAAAAAAAAAAAAAAAAGAAGACAGCTGTCTGGTGGGCTGTGAGAAGCAGCACTCGCGAGCCCAACGGAGGGCGTGCGGCTGGACCTGCAGTGGGCGTGTGGCAGCCCTTGTATGACTGGGAGGGCAGTACAGCCTGGGTGAGGCTTTGTATTGAGCCTGCCCAGGGATGCGGCCAGATTTTCAAGGCCTTTGTACAGCCAGGTGGCACCCAGCACAGCACAGAGCTGAAATACAGTGCCCTTGCTGTTCACTGCTGTGTTTCGGGATAGTTTTCCCTCCCCTCCCTGGGTAGCTGGCCAGAGCTGCCTCCTGCTGACTGGCTGGGGTGGAGAGGTTTTGACTTGGCAGTGGCTCTGGCTCTGGCTCCTTCTCAGTCACAAACCTCCTAAAGCCACTCCTCAGGCCCTGTTTTTTTTTTTTTTTTTTTTTTTTTATCAGTACTGGGGATCGAACTCACGACCACATGCTTGCAAGGCAGGCACTTATGCCGCTGAGCTAAATCCTCAGCCCCTCTGGCACTTTTCCAATCTCCCTCACCTGTGTTTCATGGAGAGGTGGACAGGGCTAGAATACAATGGTTCTGGAACAGCACACAGTTGCTGGTTGTGGTGGCCCATGTCTGTAATGCCAGCACTTTGGGAGGCTGGGGCAGAAGGATTGCTGGAATTCAAGGCCAGCCCAGGCTACACGGTGAGACCCTGTTTCAAAAGACAAAACTCCAACAACTGCCCTCTCCCACAAAAAAACAGCACACAGTAGAGCTTGACACCAAAAATAGTTGTATTATTTTGTATATTAAATGTTCAATCCAGATCCTGTTATCAAGCATGTGACAAAAATTCAGAATGCAGGGTCTTTTCCATCCGGAACTAGAGAAGTCCCAGGATTTCAGGTCCCAGCACCCCCATGAGCTACCCTCAATCTCTAACCCTCAGTAAGTTCAGATCTAGAATGTCCTCGCAAAATCTCATGTGTTTAGAGGCGGGATTTTTGGGAGGTGACTGGATCATCGGGATGTGGAACTGGTACTCAGCAGTGGATTCACCCACTGAGGACTTCACAGCTACATGCTAAGGTGGTGAAGCCTGCTGGAAGAGGGTGCATGGGGCGTGCTGTTGAAAGATTGTCACCTACCCAGCACTTTCCTTCTCTTTCTCTTTTTTTTTTTTTGGTTTTGAGACAAGGTCTCACTGTGTAGCCCAGGCCAGCCTTGAACTCCCAGCCATCCTTTGCCTCAGCCTCTCAAGTACTGGTGTTACACACTTGGGCCACCAAGCCCAGCCTTTCTCTGCTTCTTGGCGGCCATGGAGACAGCTGGGAGCAGCTTTCTTCCACCTTGCTGCTCCTGCCCTGGAGCCAGCCAAGAATCCTGAACTAAATTAAAGCTCTCCTTTGTGTTGGGTATCGCGTCTCAGCAATGGGAAAGCTAATAATACATTTATTTAGAATCCCAACTCTGCCCAAAAGAAAACCACAGTCATATGCAATGAGTTCATATAGAATATATTTCATTCTTTAAAAATAAAACTTTCAGCAGAGCTAACATCTGTGTACACTACAAAAATAAACATCTTCATATAAATAATTTATGGGAGGTGGACAGGGCCACACAGCCCTACCTTGGAATCACCAAGCAGTGAGAGGCCAGCACTGGCTCAGGGAGTTCGAGGGCCCAGAAAGCTTGGACTCCTGTGTGGGCAGCACCGTGGAGGGGACCCAGCTGCCCTGCAGCCTTAAGTGCCGGCTTTCATCCCTGCCTGAGTGCAGGCACTGGCAGACATGGGCTCTGGAGCACCAGGCCATGCTGCATGGAGGTCAGGGGTGCTGCCAGAACGGAGCGGGGAGGCAGACACAGCAGCAGGGCCCGTGGGCCACACCCCAGACTGCCCACCGTGACCTCCCAGAACAAGCAGGGCCTCATTTTCTGCGACTCCTTCATTCAGTGGTGGAACATGATCCCCTAGAACTGGGGTTGCCAGAGGCGTCGGCAGTGGAGGTGACAGCAGCAGAGGACCACGTGGGCTCGTCAGAGGCTGGGTGGATGTGGGCACCCGGGAGCAGGGGTGGATGGAAGGCCACAGTCATAGAGGCGGTCACTCTGGCAAAGCTCTGGGGCAGGCTGGGAGCCGCTCCCCACCTGAGCCCACCTTCCTGTGCAGCAGCGGGGCTTGGCACTCGGGGGTTCGCCTTGCACACCTGTACCACCTGGGGAGACACGAGGGCTGTACACACAGCAACTGGAACAGCGCCCGTTTGTCTTCCCCGCTGAGCACCATGCACATTGTGAGAGCAGGTCCTTGTGGGCCTAGTAGGACGACAGCTCACAGTGAGAAGATGTCAAGGGCTGGGGCCTACCCTGCACCTTGCTCTGATCACATTTTGGATCCATGGCTTTTGCCTGAGAGGGTCCTGAAGAAACCAGAGAGCCAAGGGACAGGAGTGCAGTGTCAGGGCAGGGAGCAGGCTGTCAGTTTAGGCCAGTGGTGGCGGCAGCTGGTGAAAGGCCCTTGAGCAAGCTGAGCTCTTTGGCCATGGAAGGCATTTCCCAATGGCTTGGTCCCTTCCCTTAACTGTCCCCACCCTGTCCCTGGGGCAGGGAGCAAACCTCCGGTGGGGGCCCCACGATAGACAGCAGCACGGGCAGCAGCACAAGTCCATGGAGCAGGCCCAAGAGAGTGAGCGCCATCAGCACCATGAAGAAGTACCTGTCATAAAAAAAAAAAAAGTACCTGTCAGAACGCTGTCAGCAGGGTGCCGAGGCCAGCTGGGCAGGCCCTGCCGCCCCCTCCGAGGGCCCTGTACCTCACAATGAAATCGAAGCTGGAGCCAGCGAGCATGAGCAGACCCAGCAGCGTGGACACTGCTCCATCAGTCACAGGAGCGAATGTGTGCTCCAGAGCCTGGGCCACCCGAAGGTTCCGGCTACCTTGGGAGGTCAGGAAGCCCTGGGGGGGACAGAGTGGTTCAGGAGCTCCTGGGCCAGCAGCCAGGGCCAGCCCACCCATGTCTCTTGCTGCTCCTTTTCTATCCTAGGGCTTCGGAAGCCCAAGTGAACTGAGCTTATGAGTGCATGGTACAGGTATGTCTGGTGACAGCAAGATGTCCAGACGGGGGGTGGGGGGGTTGTTGTCAGCAGCCTGTCATGTGGGCTTCGTAAAGAAAATTTTGTTGAAATATCATCACACTCATTCTAATGTATTTGCTGTTCTTGGGATTAAACCCAGAGGCAGTCACCAAACTACATTTCCATCCCTTTTCATAATTTTGTAACAGACTCTTGTCAAATTGTCCAGGTTAATCTTGAACTTGTGATCTTCCTGTCTCTAGTCTCCCAAATAGCTGCAACCATGGGTGTGCATCATTGTGCCCAACTGTTTTGTTTTATTTTGTTTTTTGAAACAGAGTCTCACTATGTAGTGTAGGCTGGCCTTGAACCTACAGTGATCTGCCTCAGTGTCCCAAGTGCGGAAATTACAAGTATGCAATACTATACCTTGCTTTCTTTCTTTTCTTCTCTTTTCTGACCCTAAACTTGCCATGTACCCAAGGCTGGCTTCTAACTCACAAGCATCCTGCCTCAGCCTCCTGAGTGCTGGGACTATAGGCATACTCACTATGCCTGGCTCATAGCTACTTCTGTGCCATGATGGCAAAATTATGACACTATTTTTTTTTTAAGAGTAGGAAAAATTATTGGGGAATAAGAATAGCTCTTGAGAGACAGGTGTGATCCCAAATAGGTTGCCCAAAATTGTGACCCTTAATGGCCTCCTAGGGCTGAAATGTTTTTCCTCAACTCTTTACATGAAATATTTGGTAACTCCTGGTCCAGAAGGATGGACACTGAGATGATAAAAGTCACTTCTCAGGTGGCATTTCAGAGGACTTCTAGTTTTTTCTTTATATTGTTTTATACACTGGCTATTTTATTTTATTTTCCATACTGGGGATTGAATCCAGGGCTTTGCACTCAACTATATTCCTCTCCCCATTTTTGCATTTTTTATTTTGAGACAGGATCTCACTAAGTCACAAAGTTGCAGACTTATGATCCTCCTGCCTTAGCCTCACAGACTGCTGGGATCATAGGTGTGTGCTACCTAGGTTGCACACTGGTTTTTTGTTAGTTTTTGTGGTACTGATGATTGAAGTTAGGGCCTCATCCATTGGGGCTAGTAAATACTTTTTATAGTCAGAATAACAGGGTTTCACAAGGGGGAAAGGAAGGAGCTATTTGTGTGGCCTGAACAGGTTCGTGTAGATGCTTCTAGCTGGTCCATGCTTTACTTCCTCTGGTGCAGAACACATAGCTTTGGGAAAGGACTGTCCCCTCCCAGGTGCTAGCACATCCATTTTGGCAAAGTTTCTCCTTCACACACATGTTGTCCAGCTAGTACCCCATTTCTCAGATCCTCTTACAGTAAAACCACTGGCAAGAACTGCTAGTTCCTGAGGATGAGGGTTAGCTCAGTGGTACAGCACTTGGCTAATATATATGAGGCCTTAAGTTTGATCTACAACATTGAAAAAAGAGAGAGAAAGAAAGAAAGAAAGGAAAAAAAGGGAGAGAAAGAAAAGGCAGGAAAGTGCCAGGCATGATGGCACATACCTATAATCCCAGGACTAGGATGGCTGAGGCAGGAGAATCATGAAGAGTTATAGCCTATACTACATAATAAGATCTCTTAAGAAAAAAGAAAAAAGAAAAAAAAAAAAAAAGCAAAGCAAAGCAAAAACTGGTTCCCATTTTCTCATCTTCTATTCTGTCCTTAACTCATTCCAGACAGGCCTTTGTTGTCTTCTCTTTTCTGAAATGTTTGCTTATTTGTTTACTTATTTTCCTTTTTTAACTCCTAATACAGGCTCCTTGGAAATAACAACTATTGCTACTGTATATTCTCAATTATTTTTTGGTGGGGGGAGTGGTCTTTTTGAGAGAGGGTCTCACTATGTAGTTCAGGCTGGCTCTGAGCTCTCTTTGTAGCCCAGGCTGGTCTTGAACTTTCAACGATCTTCCTGTCTCCATTTCTTAAACAGCCTGTAGTCACAGACAGTCCTTAAACCAGCTGGGCATGGTGGCAAATGCCTATAACTCTAGCACTGAGGTTGGGGCAAGAGGATTACTGTGAGTCTGAGGTCAGCCTGGGTTACATAGTAAGTTTAAAGCCAGCCCGAACTACAAAGCAAGACCCTGTCTCAAAAAACAAAAAATAAACTGGGCGTGGTGACACCTGCCTCTAATCCCAGCATTTGGTGGGCTGAGGCTGGAGATCATTGCAAGTTCAAGACCAGCCTGAACTACATAGCGAGACCCTGTCTCAAAAAGGCAAAACTAAAAAAACAAAAACCAACCAACCAACCAACCCAAAAGCCAAAAACCAAAACTAAAACCAAACAAACCAAAAAGAAAAAAAAAAAGTACCAAACCATATTTGCAGAACCCTAAATGAGCTGCCTTGTTCCCCTCACCCGCCGGGCCCATGCTCACCTGGGCCACGTGGACTGTGAACTCAACACCAATGCCTACAGAGGCCACGAGGATCACCACGGGAATGGCACTCAGCTTGATGCCCAGGAAACCCATGACACCAAAGAGCTCCACAGTCACCATGGCCAGGACCACCACCTGGCGGGGGCGGGGGGAGCTTGCTCAGTGATCTGCCTCTCTGGAAGGGCAGGCTGCAGACAGCAGGCTGTGCCCACCCCCATACTCACTATGAGAGCAGCCGTCCAGGGGCTGAGCAGCAGCAGGGCACAGACCAGGAAGGTGCACACCAGCAGGACACACACAGCCAGCAAGAAGCAGCGCCGTAGGCCTAGATACTGCTCCCAGAAGAGGAAGGGGGAGCCGCTGGGGTAGGCATGCACCCCTGCCTGGCTGGCCTCTGCACATGCTGCCCGGGCGCCCTCAATGGCCTCCATGAAGTCTGCAGTCTCCTGAAGACCATGCAGCAGGAAGGGGAATTGGGCAAACTCCAGGGGCTGTGCGGCTGGGACTGTGGATGGGAGGAGAGCAGGCAGAGGGACAGAGGGTGGTGAGCAGCAGAGAGAGCTCGGGTCAAGGCCGCAGAGTGGGGTCGGGGTCGGGGTTGGGGTTGGAGTTGGGGTCAGGCCAGGCTGTGGACCAATGGGACTCACTGAGGAGGTTCTCCCCGGTGGTGTCAAATCTGTCGTGCAGCCACTCAGGAGGTGGGGGGTAGAAGTTGGCCTGTGAGGCTGCCAGTCCCAGGGGGTCACTGCTCACCCATACAGTGAGCCCCACGTAGAAGAGCTCTGGGGGGATTAGGCCTTCCTTGTCCACGAGCTTTCTTGTGGTCAGCTGCAGAGGCAGAAAGGTCTGAGGGCCTGGGGCCAGGCTCTCAAGCCCATCTGTTCCTCTGACCCTTCAAGCCCTTCCCCAACCTGGCTGAAATCCAGAGGCTCCTGGGCATTTCCAGTCTGGATGAGCAGCTTGTAGGCCAGGGCCCCATCCTCAGAGCCATTGCGGCAGGAGTGGCGGGTGATGCGGCCAGAAGCCCAGTCCTGGTCAAAGGCAGCCTGGATTCCTGGGAGGCATAGGATGGGGTACAGTCAGCCTGAGGTTCCATCCTGTGCCCTGCAGCACCCTGCCCTGTTGGTCTCCTGGCTGCTCACCCTGTAGCCAGTTGCGGTAATAGTGCAGCCAGGTGCGGGGCACCCAGGCGGCAGGTGAGGGCACAACAGCCTTGAGGGAACTGAAGCGCTGGTGCAGATCAAAAAGGGCACGTTGGGAGTGGGTGTAGTCAAAGCCACCCTGGGTCACCAGGGCCACCTCATACAGGGAGAAGTACCTGAGCTGGGCGCTCAGGAAGGCATGCTCCTTGGTGCCCCGAGGCACCACATCTGCCAGGGCCAGCCCATCTTCCACCAAGGTGGCTCCGTAGAGGCTCAGGCCCAGAAGGGCCCCCGAGAACACCAGCACCAGGGCCTGTGGGAAACGGCAACTTAGCAGGGCTCAAGGCCGCCCTCGGGGGCTCAGAGCTGCCCTCTGGCTCTCGGACGCTGACCTGGGCCCTCTGCCCTCCTCAGGGCCCACAGATACTGAGCCTCTGCCTGCCGCCAGCTCTTACCTTGGCATGTGACTGGAGCAGTAAGGGTGCAAACCAATTCCGGGTGAAGCGGGCAAGATTCCAACAGGCACAAGGTGGAGGCTTGAAGGATGCCTTCTGCCTCGAGCCCTCCTCCTGCTCTAGAAGGTCTCGAGTGGACCCTCGAGGGCTGAAGAGTTCAGAAGCCAGTGAGGCAGAAGCTGGGGGCACCAGGGTTTGGGGTGGTAAGACAGTGACCACATTCTGGCTGCTGGCTTCACAGTGGGTGAAAGCTTGTACTGTGGTGGTCAGGTGGGCAATGCCTACTGGTACTGTCCTCTCCCCCAGCTCCTGGGGCAGAATTTGCATCACTCGAGCAGAACAGGAGCTAGAAAAAGTGGAGAGAATACATGGAAAGCTCAGGCCTGGAAGTGTGAGGGAGGAGACAGGCTGAGCTGGGGTTGAGGGCCAAAAAGGTGGTGGGGTGGCACACGTGGGGACAGTACCTGGAGAAGCAACAGAGTACATCGAGGCGCTGGTGGTGGCGACGGTGCAGGTCCAGGCTGAGGATGGCTGGGAAGATGAGCATCACAGCTGCAAAGTTGCAGCCAACCACGACTGCTGCCTGGGAGAAGCAGGGCATGGATGCTGCAGGAGGCACGGCCTCGCCCTGTGCCCACCCTGCCCACTGCCCATCATGAAGCCTTACCTGCAGGGAGAAGGCCCGCAGGGCAGGAATGGGCACCAGGGCAGCCGAGAAGAAGGCAACCATGTTACTGACAGATGTAAGCGTGACGCTGGTGCCGGTGCGCTGCAGACACTCGCCCATGCGCTCCTGCCAGCACACAGCAGGGATAGTGCCGTCAGGTTGTGGGGTGGGGCCACGGATTTCCAAGGCAGAGAGAAAGGAGGCTCTGGAAGTCTAGGTGGCTTAATAATGTCACAGCAGCTAGTGTTTATTGAGTACCATGCATGTGTCATACACTCTTCTTTTTATTTTTTTATTTTGAGGTACTAAGGATTGAACCAATGGTCACCACATTGACCTGAATCACACTGATCTACATCCTTAGCTTTTTAAATTTCTTACCAGGGATAAAACTCATGACCTTGTGCTTACCAGGCAGGCGCTTATGCTGTGGAGCTAAATCCCTGGCCCATCCCTAGCTTTTTAAACTTCTATTGCTCCCTAAATTCTTTCTGCCTAAGTTGCCCACCTGGAACTCAAATTCGCAATCCTTCTGCTTCAGTCTCCCAAATTGCTAGGATTGTGTGTCACTGTGTCAGGTTCACATTTTGTTTTAAGCACTCATTTTGACTCTCTCAATGATCTTCACAACAACCTCAGGAAACAAGCACTACACTGCCTCCATTTAGAGATGGGATGGGATGAAGCAGTGAGCTAGTGGCTCAAGGTCCAAGAGGCTCTTTACCACCACGCTGACCTGCCTTGGATGCCCCAGGCTGGAGGACAGTGTTCTCACCTGCAGAGGGGTGCTCAGTGGGGCCTTTGTGAAGGAATGTGCCAGCAGGAATACGTCATCCACCCCGATGCCCAGGGCCAAGAAGGGCAGCACCTGGAGGGGAAATGAGGGGGGTAGCTGGAGGGACAACACAAACTGGAGACGATCCCTGAGATGGGCCTGCAGTCCTGTGTACCTGAGTAGTAGCAGCATTGAAGGTGATCCCGAGCATGGCACAGAGTCCAAGGCCCGAGGCCACTGCCAGGGCCACCAGCAATACCCCAGCAAGGCCTACGGCACCCTGTGACTGGCCACAGTCCCAGCGCAGCATGGTCATACAGGCATAGGCCAGCTGTGGGGACAAAAGTTGTGGTCTCACAAAGGAGCTTCCAGGGTGGGTTTCAGGTAGAGCAGGGCAAGGTGCCAAGAGCAGGACCCACCATAAGCAGATAGCCTCCTGCCACACGGATGGCGCTGACTTCTGAGAAGGCTTGCAAGACGTCGTCCAGCGTGGCGGAAGAGAAGGCATGGATCTGCTGCGAAGAGTTCTCAGGCAGGGCCTCCTGGGCCAGCTAGAGGGACAGGGCGGGTCTGAGCGGGAGCAGGGGGGCCCTGGGACCTTCCTGCCCTGGGCTACACTGACCTGCACAAAGCGCCGCTGCCAGGCTCGCAGCACGATGCCAGCCTGCTCCTCACTCCAGCTGATGTCATGCGTCTGGTAGTCGCCTCGGAAGTGCTCGTACAGCTGGCGAGGACTCATGAGCAGGAATGTGCTCTGTAGGGCCTCTGCCCTGATTTGAGGTGCAGGAGAAATGGGGGTTAGAGCTGCCTAAATGCCCAGTGGGGGATGCAGTGGGCTGCTACCAGAGCCATGCAGCACTTAGAGTGTGAAGTGTTCCTTGCATGGGGTTCCTTCACCAGCACCCAGAAGGCTCCACTACCTCAACAGCTGCCCTTGGGGGTCCCGGGCCATGCCTCCCAGCAGCAATTCCTCTTGCCAGTGCATGAATTTGTGGGAGAAGCCGTGGCAGCCTCCACTCAGCTCCTGAGCCACATTGGGAGCCTGGAGGGGGAAGGAAGGGGTTTGATATTCAAAGCTTCACTGCAGGTATCCAGGGCTTGTAGAAACGATGTCTGCCATAGAGCTCAGCAGGCCTCAAGTGTGGGAAATTATTCTCCTGAGCCTTTGCCTACTCTATAAAAGTGAACAGTTAGTGTCCTGCAGACAGGAAGCTACAGAGAGACAGGGCTGGAAGTGGGCTGCTGGAAGGAGCTGGTATAACTATGGTGGGTTTTGGAAAAAGTACCACACAGAGGCCCACAAGCATGTTTGGGAAACTAGGCATTTGTGTTTAGCTACTTTGTTCTTTCTTATGTTCTTGTACTGTTACTTTGGTAAAGTCTAGCTTTGGGCCTAGAAAAGGAAAAAGGGACTCATGCTACCTTAGAGGGTTCCTTAGAGGAAAGGAGGAGAAAGGGAATACTCCCACGGCCAGCACATGGGGCAGGGGGCTTTGTACAGGGTGAGCTCTCTTGGAACAGGGCACACAGGGAGAAGAGATGGACAGAGCTGGTTGGAACCCACCTGCCTGCTGTGGTGGTTGGGGGCCGTCGGAGGGCACTGGAGGTCCTCAGGGTCCAGACAGGGCCGCCCTACGTAGGCCTGGCCCACCTGCGCTTTGTCCAGCAGTTCCCGAACGCCCTCAAGGGAGGCAAAGGAGCCCAACTCCTTGAGTAGCTGCTCCGGATCCAGGTTGGTCCACTGGATATCGGGGCGGCCCCTGCTGGGATAGCCTATAGTTAGTGAGAGTCAGGGATTAATATCCATCCTCCAAACTGTGGCTGTGGACATGTGATGCATGCCACCCTCTTTGGGGGTGTTATCCATTCTCCTGCATGGAGGGTGAGTGAGGCTCAGCTTCTCAGAGCTGCTGGGCTACCCAAGCACCCCAGATTCCTGCAGTGACCTGTGGATAGGTACCAGGGGCTAAGATAAGACATCAGGCTGAACACACTTAATACCTGGAAAGTACCCAGCAAATTCTCCTTCAGTGTATACCAAGCTGCCTCCCCTTGGTCCTGCTAACCATCCAGACACTTGCATCTAACAGCTCTTTTTCCTGGCCCTGATAACTAGCTTATTCTTCACCTTAAATGTCTTTCTGGGATCTCTCTTCTCCTCTGCTGAGATCTTGCAGATCTCTGTGTTGTTTTGTTTAAATGAGACAGGTCTTTCCCTCCTTTAGAAGTGAGAAGGGGATCTGGAGAACCACAGCAGCCCATGTCCTGGCCCTGGCCTGGGAGGTAAAGAGGACTCGGTAAGGTTCTCACTCTCCCACCCTCCTTTCTGCGGGGGAAGACCCTGGCGGGAATGAAGCAGAGCCCAGGAGCAGCATGGGAAACTCACGGCAAGTATGCAGAGCCCCCTTGGAGTTTGGCTCCTTCCCAGAAGCAGTCAAGTGGGGTGAGGATCACACACGGAAACAGCTTCTCAATCATCTGCCAAGGACACCCCAGCCCCGGCCCCATCAGTCCTGCCCCGGACTCTGCCCAAGGGTCTTCCCTCTGCCTGGGGCTCTGAGTCCTCTGGGTCTTCCCCCAGGGCAGACAAGGTTCTGCCTCTGCCAGGATGTGTGCATCCACAGTTCTGGACACTCACCCGTTCAATCATTCCGTTTTCAATAAGGGGAACTCCTGACTTATAGCAGATTTTGTTCAAATCCCAGGACCTGCAAAAGCCAGGGGTTCAGGTGTACTCCCAATTCAGAAGCGCTGCTGCTCGCTTCATCCCAGCTGCTCAGGGCTCAGCCAGACTCACTTTCCATACAGCGACACTTGCACTTTACTGGCAGTGAAGGCTGCCTGGAGATGGAGGCTGAGAGCTTCAGATGTGAGGACATTCTTCCCTTCCTGGCGCGAAGTCTGAATCAGCATCTGGGAGGTGTAGGCAGCTTCCTCTCCCAGCTTCTCCTTGGTGTAATGCAGTTCTTGACTCACTCGGCTACCTACTGCCAGGGTAAGAGAGAACAGTAGGGGAGAAGGGCCCGGGATCAGAGCTCAGGGGAAGATGGCAGCCTAACCTCTGAGGCTCCCTGGGAAACAGGCAGTATTTTAAGAGCTCCTGCCCTCCTGACAGCCTTGCAGGGCCCTGACTGACTCCCCGACAACTCTGCCAAGGAAGTGGAAAAGCCTGTACATGGCTCTAGAGATTTCTTTTTTTTTTTTAATTAAAAATTATTATTACTTTAAGACAAGGTCTTGTTATGTAGCTTAGGCTCATCTTGATCTTTCTGTGTAGCCCAGGCTGGCCTAGAACTCAGGGTGATCCTCCTACTTCAGCCTCCCAAGGGCTGGGGTTACAGACATGGACTACTATGCCCAACTCTTTATGGACATAAACATGGGTTAGGGTTTAAGCATGAACCAGGCTAGCTGAGTATGAGGCAAAAATTTAATAATTAAAGTGCGTTGGACTTGGGCTGGGGTTATGGGAGCACGGAGCAGGTTGGTAAAGGAGCCCACACTCAGTCTCCCTCTGCCTTGGTGGGCAGACAAGAAACAAAAGAGGCCAGGAGGGGCTGCCACTAGTAAAGGTTTCATGAAAGAACGGGTGTTCTTTCAAATGCCTGTTTGAAACTGCTCTGGAAGGAAGCAGGGATGGCAGTACTTGGTAATGACAGGTAGCATGGGACAGGGAGAATTGCCTTTTTTGCTCTATCTTGTATTTTATTTATTTATTTGTTTTGTATTGCAATTTTTACTTTTGTGTTTTGTCTTGAAGACAGAGTCCCACTCTGCAGTTCAGGCTGGTCTTGAACTCACTTCATAGCCCAGGCTGGCCTCGAACTTGCAGTGATCCTCCTGCCTCAGTCTCCCTAGTGCTGGGATTCCTGGTGTGCACACCATGCCTGGCTTTTTTGGGGGGAGGGCTACCAGGAATCGAACTCACACTTGCCAAGCTCGCACTGTGCCACTGAGCTCAGCCCTGGCCTTGCTGTCTTTTAGTACAATGCTGCCACCATTCAGGCAAGGAGGACATGGAATCAGCTCCTATTCCCTGGCAGAGGTGAAATCAGAGCAGGCCATGAGGTGTAGGTCCTTTTCGTCAGCCTCGCTGTGCAGACCATGAAGCAGACTTCAGGCCTGCCTGCCTGTGGCTCTTTGGTCTTAGTATCCCTTGGGGCCTGAGCTATCCTGTCACTGGGGCCTGAGGAGGCAGAGATACTGACGTGATGCAGTTCAACTGCAGTGGAGAGGGTGAGGGCTGCAGCCGGGTCGGTGGAGTTGGTCTGGTCTCAGAACCGGTTCCGTTCTCCCTTTTTGGGTCTCTTCTTGTTGCTCACTGCTACTCCTGGGATCCCCATGTGCTGCCTCGCTGTGACACCAGCCTCACCCAGAACTATTGTGCTCTTCAATTTCTTTTACACCATTTTTTTAACTTTAATTTTTTTATTTTTAAATTTTATTTAATTATTTATCTTTTTAGAAGAGATATGATCTAATAAGCTTAAGACACATCAGGTAAATGGATGCATCTTGAGATCACACTGTTAAGAAAAATAAATCAGACACACATGTGTAAATATAGAATTGTTTCTCTGGTAAGAGAAACCAAAAGTATAAATAAGGACCAAATGTATAAAAGATATTGGGAAGTGGGAAGAAAATGTTCAAATGGAAAAGGGGAAAAAGAGGAAGGGGAGAGAAAGGAAAGAATGGCCAAGAAAAAAAATAGGAGGAAAAAATGGGAGTAAAACTTTTGTACATAAGGAGGAAAAGAGGGTTTGAAGGGAGGGAAGGGGAATAGAAAAAACAAAAGAAGCAAGTTATATCATGTACAAATACAAATTCTCTATGATGAATGTGCTCATTCTGTATACCTAAAATGCACGCGTGCGTGCACACATACACACACACACAAATAATAAAAAGGAAACATTGTCTTGGCTCAAACACTCCTGCCTCAGCTTCCCCAGTAGCTGGATTTACAGTATGTGCCACTGTGTCCTACTTCTAAATCCTTTTATAAACCCGCACAATCTCCTCACTCTGAAGGGCCTCAAACCAGGGCAGGGTCCTCATGTGCTCACACTGCTCTGTCCTACTCACACCCTGGCCTGGGCCTCCTCCTGCACACAGCTCCCCTCAACCCACCTGCACTTTGTCTTCTCAGTCCTTACGACTCACCCAGGTCTGTTCTACAGCATTTGATTCACCAGGCTCAAGCCAGTGGAACAAATGGGAGGCAAAGAGAAGTGCCTCATAGCAAACGGGTGTGCTGCAGGACATGGGGATGGGAAAGAAGAAACCCAGGGGAGACCTAATAAAAAAGCCAAGAGAGCCACCACGGTGGCACACACCTATAATCCCAGCCTTGCTGAGTCGAGGAGGACTGCTGCAAGTTCGAGGTATCCTGGGTTACACTAGTGATCCGGGTCAGCCTGAATCACACAGTGCAACCCTGGCTCAAAGAGAAAAAGGCAGGGAGCAGGGACAGGGATGCAGCTCAGCAGCGCAGGTGCTTGCTGGCAAGCATAAGGTCCTGAGTTTGATTTCCAGTACCAGGAGAAAACAAACAAAAAAAAAAGAACTGTATTATATTGAGACTCTGTCTCAAGAAACAAAATATAAACAAACAAACATAAAAGCAAGAGAAACATAACAATGTAAAATACATCAATGGAACTAATGAATCCTCAGAAAAATGGGGAAGAGAAAAAGATAAACCTTAGCCAACTCAGAAGACAGATAAACCAGGCTATGCTGTACAGGAAGGAAGAGACAGGGAAAAAGGACAGACTCCATTCACACCTTCTGCTCGGGCTCTGACACTGTTTGTGCCTCAGATAAAAGTTCTATCAGCCTCAATTTATTCACCTGTAAAGGAAGGACAATGCCTGTCTCAGCAGAAGCAAAATCAAAGCAGGCAGAGCACTTCAGGAACTGCGTGTGCACAGCAGAGACAGATTCGGATCTGTCCTCCAATACTTGATGGGACAGAACTGATGTGACAGAAAAGTGAGAAAGTACTGGAGAAAAAAGGGCTCTGGGTAAGTGGGGAAGAAATAGAACAGGGAGGGAGAATATCAAAATGAATACTCTCTCTTTCTCTCTCTCTCTTTCTTTTTAGATGGGGTCTTGGGGCCAGGGATCTAGCTCAGTGGCATAAGCACCTACCTGGCAAGCACTACATCATGAGTTTGATTCCTGGTACCCAAAAGAAAAGAAAAGAACTACATATAAAAGAGTTGGGATCTCACTGTGTAGCTCAGGCTGGCCTTGACCTCACTATGTAGTCTAGGTTGGCTTTGAACTTGTGGCAATATTCCTGCCTCAGCCTCCCAAGTGCTGGGACCACAGTTATGCGCCACCATGCCTAGCTTGAATACATTTGTTGAAAACTTTTGTATCTTTATAAAAGGGAAGATGTGGTTGGGCATGATGGTGCACATATATAATCCCAGCATTTGAGAGGCTGAGGCAGGAGGATTGCCATGAGTTTGAGGCCAGCTTGGGATACATAACGAGTTCAAGCCTAGCCTCAACTGCAGTGCAAGAACCTGTCTCAAAAAACAAAGCAAAAGGAATGATATAACTCTTAAGCAACATGGAAAACTGCCTACCTTATGATAATCTTGTAAATGCCAAGGTAAAACAGCAACAAGTTACTATCGACCAAATTAACAAAAATTTAAAAATTGCTATTGCCAGGCATGGTGGTTCCTACTATAATCCTAACACTTGGGAAACTGAGGCAGGAGGAGAATTGCAAGTTCCAGGCCAGTCTGGGCTACACAATGAGTTCAAGGCCAGCCTGGATTATAGTGTGAGACCTCATCTTCAAAAAAAAAAAAAAAAAAAAAACTATTATCTATTATTGCAAGGTTATAAGAGTCCCCATAGGACTGTAATTTAGTGCACTATTTGGGCAATACTGTGATACTTACAGTCTTTTGCTCAGAGACTTCACGTGTAAAGTTATTACAAGGCTCAGTTTTTCTGAGTGAAATGGGAATAGAGTAGTTTTAGGGCAGTGAAGGGAGATGCTACAGCTTTTTCATCACCTAACAAGAGTTGGCCCAGGAGGAAGTCAGGGAAAGGTTTGGGACACTGTGTGCTGGGAACTGTTGAAGGCCTGGGGTTTCACTATTGTTTGAGCGAGTTAGGGAAGAGCCAAGGACAATGCTAGAGAAAGCAATGGAGTGAGAGTCTGAAGGGCCTAGGAGCCAGGCTATGGTTCTTACACGTGGCCCCGGGAACTTCACAGAACCTGGGAGAAACTCATAGGACTCTAAACCGGACAAATTTAGAGACACCACAGGGTGGCGACATGGAGGCAGCTCTGAAGGCGGACACTTCTCTGCTCTCCTTCCTGAGGGACTGGTCTTCTGAAAGCCTCAGGACTCAGGATAGCTGACCCTCCAGCATCAGAGATGACCTCGGATTAGTCTAAGAACCAGTCACTTACTTCCATTGCTGCTGCCCAAGGCACAGATGACACCTAGTTCTTACCCAAAGAACCAACTGGGAAAATATCTGAGAGGCCTCTGGTACATTTTCCTCACTTTAGAAAAGGATGGAAGACAGAAACGACTTCAAACCCAACATGCTGAACACGAGGGAGGAGAGACCAAAAGAAGCTGGGATTGCTGAAGTTCCTGGGATGCTGGATTAACCACAATGGAATGCCCCACTGCCAGACCTCCTGTTCAGAGAATACATCAGTCTTTTTCCTTCCTTCCTTTTGCTTACTCTCTTTCCTTCTTCTTCTTCTTTTTTTTCTTTTTGTTTCCTGAAACAGGGTCTCGCTGGGTATGTTGGCACATGCCCCTAATGCTAGCACCCAGGAGGCTAACGCAGGAAAAATTTCATGAGTTCAAGGCCTGCCTGAACTGCAGAGTGAGAACCTGTCTCAAAACACAAACAAAACAAAACAAAACAGGAAAAACAAAAACAGGGTCTTGATATGTAGTTCTGCCTGGCTTTGATGTCAAGCCCAGGCTGGCCTTGAACTTGTGGCAGTCCTCCTGCCTCAGCCTCCCACATGCTAGGATTACAGACATGTGCCATCATGCCCAGCCTTTCTTGTTTTCTTTTCTCTCATGTGGCTAAAAAGAGTCTAAATGACAAAATCAGGCATGTTTTAGTTGCATGGGTTTGTTGTGAGACAGGCTAGAAAAGGACAAAGTTACTGGTTTGGAAACCAGTTAGGTGAGTGAGAAAAACAGGCTGGTGCCCAAGGATTTAGGGTTAGGTACTTGGGGGATGTGGTCAATCTGCCTTTTGAATAGGAGGCTGTGTTCCTTTAGGGGCAACTCTACTTTCAATCCACCTCTCTCACAGTTCCAGGAAGTAGATATTAGACTATATGTTGTGATTTATTTTATTTTATTTTTTTGTCATTTTGAAACAGGATCTCACCATGCAGTTCAGGCTGGCCTTGAGCTCACTTTGTAGCCTAGACTGATCTTGAATTTGCAATGATCCTCCTGCCTCAGCCTCCAGAGTGCTGTGATTACAGGTGTGCACCATCATGCTCGGCTGATGTGATTCTTATTGTAGAGAACTATTTACTCTGAGTCCTTCAGGTTTAAAGTTGATGAGCGTGGGAGTGTAGCTCAGTGGTACAGTACTTGCCTGGCATGCACGAAGCCCTGGGTTTGATTAGCAAAGTGGCAAAGAATAGATAAGACCCTTCATCCTCACCTTGATCAGCTCCTTACTGACTAGGGCACTGAAGGAGAAGACTCAGCTACAAATCTACAGAGAAAAGATCACTAATTTTAGCTTCTATAAATAAGGAGGGGGAGAAGGGTTGAAGAGAGGTAGGGGAATGGAGGAGAAGAAAAGAAAAAAATACTTAAGTTATATCTTGTACAGATACAAATGAATGTGATCATTATGTATACCTCAATTGTACCAATAAACTTAACTAATAAAAAAAAAATCACTGCTTTTACTTCACTTCCAGCCAATACAGGACAGAAAGACATTCTGAAATTAAGGGGAAAATGTCATATGTGATGGCACATACCTGTCATCCCAGCACTCTGGAGGCTGAGGCAGAAGTACTGCCTCATGTTCAAGGCCATCTTGGGCTACATAGTGAGACCCTACCTCAAAGCAAAACAAAAAAAGAAAGAGCAAAACAAAGAAAGAAAGGGTTAGGGATGTGACTCAGTAGTGGAGTTGCTGCTTTGCCTGTACAAGGCCCTGGGTTTAATCCTCAGTGGCACCAAAAAGAAAAAAAAAAAAGAAAAACTCTCAAAATTGAATATTGCCCCTTGACAATATTCTTCCCCAAACTGTAAAACTGATGCTGTCCATCCCTTTCTGTGTTAGAGAACAAGACAGAGACGACAGAATCTTCGAGATCCAAGCAGTGTTTAGACAGGGAAGATCTGGGAAATGGAGAAAGAGGGAGGGATGGAAGATTGCCTCTGTGTGACAGGAAATCCAAAAGTCATTTGGACCACCCAGGAGCAGCAGAGTGGGTGGGGGACGCTATGTACATGCACGCACATGTGTATCCTGGGGCTGCGAGCAGGCAAGCAGGCAGGGAAACATCTGCTCGGGACCCCAGGGTTTGCCTAGAGTGTGAACATAGGAGAGGCTGTGGAGGGCTGGGGTGGGGGTGGGGGTGGCATGTGGGAGCCCAACAGGCAGGCAAGGTCCCAGAAACATCTGCTCTGGAGCTTAGTACTTGCCAGGATTTGAAATAACTCAAGGGTGTCGCACTCCAACCTGGGCCCTGCCTCTGGGTATGGGCCAGAGCTGGGGGCGGTCTGGGGGAAGCCTATGAATGTAAATTTCCCAGGGAAGAAACAAAGCAAGCTTGACTCTGTCAAAAGGCTGTCATATGAAACCAAACCTCAGGAATGACGCCAACCATGCTGAAATTATTAAGAAGAAATAATGCTTCCATTAGGAAGTAAGGATTTAATCCCATCTGTCCTGGGTGCCCTGAAGTGCACAGTTTGTAGTGCTTCTATACTAAATGGTTGCAGGCGCCTAAGTGTATGAGCTCCTTTCTCAAGACCTGGTCAAATTAGTCAGATTTCCTAGCCCCTAGCCTTCCAATTCTAACTTTCTTTTTTGAAACAGTTTCTCTCTCTCTCTCTCTCTGTCTGTCTCTTCCTCTTGTCTTTTGAGATAGGGTCTTGCTATGCAGTTCATTCTGGCCTTGAGCTCACTTCATAGCCCAAACTGGTCTTGAACTCACAACAATCCTCCTGCCTCAGCTTGCCAAACAATGAGATTACAGATGTGTGCCACCATGCCAAGCTAAGGTTTTCTTTCTTCCTTAGGCTGATTTTAGGCTTTATGTGATCCTCCTACCTCAGACTATGTTGGGCGCAGGTGCTCAACATACCATACCCCAGCCGGGACTAAGGACCACGCCAGCTTCCGCAATACGCTACGTCCCTCTTTAAATTAGCCAACCCGTGCGCACCCCGCGCTCTACTCCGTACTCTGTGGCAACTCCTGATTGGCCACAGCTGGATATAGTAGCCAGAGCCTGCATCCCATTCCCGCCCTGCTTCCTTGTGGCAGCCTGTGATTGGTCACGGCCAAATATATAAACCAGAGCCCGCGTAAATAAACTAGCAGTTAACTGTCGTCCACAAGAGTGTCTCCTGTCTCATTGGGGCTGCGCCGGTCAAGACTATGCAGTAGCTGGGAGCACAGGCCTAATTTCTTAATTCTCCTGGTCAGAAGTGACTGTGTCCTACTTTTTTTTTTTTTTTTTTGTCTTTTGAGACAGGCTAGGCTTGAACTCACTATGTAGCCCAGGCCAGCCTCCAACTTTGACAATCCTTCTGCTCAGTCTCTTGTGTGCTGGGATTATAGGTATGCACCATCATACTTGGCTATTGCCCTGTCTTCTTATACAACATAATTATATTCTGCTTTGTATTATATTATAGCTATTCCAGTGCTTATCTACTTTCCTTGCTATTAAAAGATGCATCTTCCCTTTGTAACCCTGTTGCACTGTAAATGGCACACATAGAAGGTTGGCAATAGTGCTAAATAAGCACATACATAGTCAGAGATAAATACATATATCTATTGGCAGGATGCCACCATCTTAGGTGCTCATCTATGGGAGTGGCAGGGCAGGTGCTTACACCCACATGCACAGGTTCTAGCCAGCAAATACCCCTTCAGACACTTGGCCAAGCCTGCTAGGGCTCTGTGGGCAGTTCCTCAAGAGGTCCAACCTTGGGTTTAACATATCCAAGTACCTGCAGGCAGTGCTGATAACTCACCTTCTACCCAGAGCTGTTCCAGGTCTGTCTCAATAATGGCCAAACGGAGACCCAGTGCCAGAGCCCCAAAGGCCAAGAGTCCCAGGAAGAGCACTTTGCCACAGTGTCTCTGGATGCTGCAGCCCAGAGAGAAGAGCAGACCTTGGAAGTAAGCACGAAGCCAGAGTGGAGACTTCAGGCTCCCCATTGGGATCTGGGATGGAAAGAAAAGGGTGAGCCAAGTGTCACTGGAACAATGCATGAAACTCTCTTCTCTCCCTGCATTCATCCTCTGCCAGACCCAGTTTCTTGATTTCTGGGTACAGGACTGGGATTGCCCCAGATATAATAGGCCCAAACTTGGAAGACTGAACTTCCTGCCCCACTGCTCTTCCTTGTTACACTTGAAGAAAGCATAAATCCATTTTCTGAGAGTAGCATACGTATATCCACACACATTTCAGGCAGTTAGAGGCGACCCCAGATAGTTCTACTGTCACTGTGTGTGTGCACTGTCATTAGACACAATCTAAGCACATTTCAAGGCTACCCACACTAATTGCCCAAAAGTTTTGTAATACTAAATGTATGTTGTTTGATAAACGTGTGACCCTCTGACAGACACACACACACACACACACACACACACACACACACCACCCACACACAATCCTTGTACTGCCAGGAAAGTTCTCGGCAGTCTTAACAGGATGCCCAATAACACAGGGCGCTAAAAGACATCATACCCTCAGAGGCCAGCGCCAGGCCTGGCCCCACTCTTCTTTTTCCCAGATTTCTTCTTGCTCACCTGAGATGCAGTGGTTGGAGCTGCGTGCGTGTACTCGGGGGGCAGCTCTCCGAGGGGCGACAGCCCAGTCATGCCGGCCGGATAGTGGGCGCGCGGGTGCCCCTAACCTGCGCTATCTGGACTCTCTCATAGGCTAGCCTGGTCCCCTCGGCGCCGCGGGGCCAGCCTGGAGCTTCAGACGGGCCGCGAAGCGTGCGAGACCGGGGGGTGCGAAGAGCGGCGGTGGCTGTGAGAGGGAGGAGGGCGCGGCGCCCGGGCTCCTCAGGCTCGTGTGCGGTGGGCTGCGGCCGTCGCGGCGGGCTCTGCGCGCAGGCAAAACGGCGCAGCGCCTCGCAGCTCCAGGCGAGACTGCAGGGTCCTGGAGGCGCTGGAGCCCTGAAAAAGAGAGCAGGATGGGCGACGCCCTCCCATTGGCTGAGACCCGGGCAAACTACCAGGAGCCTAGACGCCCAGACCCGCTGCTAGGTAACGGCGCCGCAGGGGGCGGGGCTGCCGACCACCCAGGCAGAGCCGCGGGCTGCCGCTGCGGGGGCCCAGGAGACAGGGCGGGACTCTGAGCTCCGAGCCAGCCCGACGCGCGAAGACTGTGCTGGGAACGGGCGTTGGCCGGCCCTGATAGGCCACACTCTTCACGACCCAGCCCAAAGCCAGACTACTTTTCATTGTTGCTGGGTATCATTCTTTTTATTTAAAAATAATTGTTTTTCCCTGAGCACCATTCTAGTCCCCTTGTGGTCACTGTCTCTGGGGAGGCCTAGTCATCTCCCTAAAGTGCAAATCTGATGACAGCTTTGAAACACAAGCTCTGGTCCTGCATGAGCGACTAAAGCTTTCTTTCCATAGGCACCTCATACCCTCATTCCATTTCAGCCCTGAGGAGCCGCCTATTTTCTAAACATACTGTCTTGTCCCGTGTGTTCCTATCTTTTGTCTTTGCACATAATCTTCAAATCCGAACTTGAATTAATCATCTTTTCTTTGAACCTTTCCGTGATTTACAGCTCCCTCCTGACAGATAATTGCTTTTTTGTGATCCTTATAATACTCAATTTATATATGTATTATTGCATTTATGATGAAATAACTTTTGTACCTTACTTGAAAATCTCATTTCCTTATTGGATAATAAATAGGTACTCCACAATTACTGAGTGAGGGCCGGAGATATAGCTCAGCAACAAAAGAGCCTGCCTGGCAAGCGATCCTGAGTTTGATTCTCGATACCCAAAAAACAAACAAAAATTATTACTGGGGATTTAGCTCAGAGGCATAAGCACCTGCCTTACAAGCGCAAGGTAGTGAGTTCGATCCCTGGCACCCCCCCAAAAAAATCAACAAATAAAAATTATTCAGTTATTGAATAAGTCATTTAGAGTTGAAGACATCAGGTATAAAAGCCTGGAAACAGGAAGAAGAGAGATGGAGTAGCTCTTCTGTGAAGCTAACTTCATTTTTTCCTTTTCTTTTCTTCTCTTCCTTTCTTTCTTTCATGTTTTGTATTGGGAATTGAACCCAGGGCTTTCATACTGAGCTACGACCCCAGCCATTTTTTCCTTTTCTTAAACAGGGAAATTGGCACTTATTGGATAAATTGCCCAGGCTGGGTGCAAACTCTGCATCCTCGTGCCTCAGCTTCCAGCATGTATCACCAGATCTGGCTCCTCCGTGAACTTTCAACTATTCCATTTGAGTGTGTTGTGTCTGTCATGTTCCTGACTGATAAACCTTGAGGTGCCAGAAAAGGGTAAAAATTAGTATTCTCACACATAAAGTTTTTTGTTTGTTTTTGAGACAGGATCTTGCTGTCTAGTTCCGACTGACCTTGAACTCATTATGTAGCCCATACTGGCTTCAAACTCATGACCTCCCAAGTAAAGTTTGTGAAAGAGAAAAAGAATCTGCAATAATCTCTGGCCAGCTTCTTGGTCAGTTCTTCCAGATTTTTTTATCATTGCATCGTAAATGTTTTGTCTTTCTTCACATTCTATCAATCATTCGCATAATGTCTTTAGGATAGATTCCCAGAAATGGGGTTATTTGGGTCAAAAAGTATGAACTTTTAATGGTTTTGTTACATACACACTGCCAACTGCTTTTTGAAAACTTATGTGAATTAACTTTATCTTCAGAGCCTCAGTCTTGGGAAAAAGGAAAACTCCAGCTGAACGCTGAACAACTTTGCCACTTCCATTTGTCCATTCATCCTGCAAAATGCCTGTGGATTAAAATGGCCGTGACACGCTGGCCAAGTGGTAACTGCAGCCTATGTGTGTACTACATTCTTCCTCCGTGACAGAGGTGTGTTTCCACTCTGGATAAAGAAAGTGTATCTCTGACAAATTTCTGGAAATATAAATAGCCTCCAACCTAGGCTTTGTAGCTCCCTATACTGCTCTTGGGGCTACAGTGAAAGGCAGAAAATGGCTTTCTGTCAGCACTGGATATAATTTGGAGTAGAGTTGCTTTTGTCTTATGTAGCTCTTGAGATAATCTTCCTTCTTTTTTTAGAGACAGAGTCTCACTATGTAGCTCAGGCTGGCCTCGAACTCCCGGCAATCATGAGTGCTGGGATTATAGGCGTGTGCTATCACACCCAGCCAAGGCCTGCCTACTGGGAGAACCTCTTGCCAATCAGATTATGTGGGAGAAATGGGTCTGCAGTTTCCAGCAAAAATTTCCAATTTAGTGGTTAGTACTTTCTGGCTACTTCAAGCCCCAAATGACCTGCTTTTTCCTCAGCAAAATGATTTCCTGTGTGCAGCTGAGCTCAGCCAGAGCTACAGCCACTGACCCTATGAAATTAAAAGGAAGGGAAAAAGAGGGCCCTCTTTTTCTTTCTGCAAGCAGCCTGCTTCCTGATGAATGACTTGTTTATCACTTGCACTGGATGATGGTATGTATTTGGGTCCAAATTAGAGACATTTTCCAAAGAATAAGGAAGGAGAAAAGCAACCTAATTAAATTTACTACTGTCAAGGATTCAATTACTGATTCATGAGTCAAACACGTCTTGGGGGCTTTTATGCTCTTCGCTGAGCTGCAGTTGTAGTGTACATTGTTTTTTTTTTTTTTTTTTTTAGCAGCTCGTAGCAAGAGGGAAACACAGAGACCACAGGGGAAAGAACTGTGAACTGAGGTATTCAGGGAGATTTCCAGAAGAGAAGAAATGGATGGGAAAATTGGGAGGACGACAGAGTTTAAAAGAAGTATATGCCTTTAATCCCTAGATTTGGAAGGCTGAGGCAGGAGGATTGCCTGGGCTACACAGTGAGTTCAAAACTAGCCTAAACTACATGGTACACCCGGTGTGATGGTGCATGTCTATAATCCCAGCCCCCAGGAGGCTAAGGCAAGAGGATCACTGTAGCCAGGTTAGGCTACACAGTGAGTTCAAGGCCAGTTGGTGCTACATAATGAAGCCTTGTCTCAACAAAATAAAAACAAAAACAAAACCCCAAAACTAAAACACCTATGTAGAAAGATGAAATTAATTAATTTTATGAAGTCTTCAGAATGCCACCTATAATCCCAGAACTCCAGAGGCTAAAACAGGAGGATTGCTATGAGCTCAAGGCCAGTCTGGGCACATAGTGAGTTCAAGTTCAGGTCCAGCCTGGAGTGAATAGCAAGACCCTATCTCAAAATGAAACCAAACCTAAGCAAACCACAACTAAACCCAAAAAAGAACAAAAAGGGCATGCTTCAAGGTCTGGACCTTTCAATTACCGGCTGTGTGAGACTGTGAGATTATAATCTCACAATGTCAGGGAAAGTAGACTGCCTAGCGTCAGGAGAGGGTCCCTAAGGGAAGTAGGGGAAGCTGAGGTGGCCTTCTCTTCCTAGTGTGCCCCCAGTCTTCTTATTGATTGTGCTTTGGGCAGGCTCCTGTTTCTGGGCCAGTCAGCAGTATGGCAGAGGAAAGCAGAAGGTCTAGGCACCTCCTACTCTACCCATTACATTTAGGGACCAACCTGGGAATTTATGTCCTCTGCAGGCAGCTTCAGGTGACCAATACCCATCAAGTCCCTGGTTTCAGAGGTTCCAGACAGAGATTAGAGAATGGTCCTTCACCTTGAGCACTGGGGGAAGAGGAAAGCAGAGAAACCAAAGCAGTTGTCATTTTCCAAAGAACATTGCCAGGCCAGGCTGGGCTACATAGTGAGTTTAAGGCCAGCCTGAACTACAGAGTGAGGCCTTGTCTTAAAAACCAAACCAAAACAAACTAAAACAAAAGAACACTGATGCAATCACCCTGGAAGATAGCTCCGGCCAAGGACAGATCTTTTCTTGGTCTCCAAAAGAATTTGTTTTCCTTCAGCCTCTTTTTTTTTTTTTTTTTTAAGGTCAATTCCATAATAGCTAAGCTTTTAAACCTGTTTGGGTGGTCCTTTCCCCTTCCATTTCCCTTCTCTCAGTCATGTTTAACTATTTAGCTTGCTTTCTCTCTTTCTTTCTAAGATAGGGGCTTGTTACGTTGACTGGACTGTTCTTAAACTTCTGGGTTCAAGTAATCCTCCCACTTCAGTTTTCTGATTGCTGCAATTATGGTGGTGGTGGGGAAGATCAGTGGCTTACATTTAGCTGTTTTAGAAAATAGCATACAAGCCATGTGTAGTGGTGTACTCCTATAATTCCAGTACTTGGGAGGCTGAGGCAGGAGGATTATCTCAAGTTTGGGGCCAGTCTGGGCTACATAGTGAGTTCAAGGCCTGCCTGGATTATATAGAGACCCTGCCCAAAAAGCAAGCAAGCGTGGGGATTTAGCTCAGTGGCACAGCACCTGTCTGGCAAGCATGAGGTCCTGAGTTTGGTTCCCAGTATACCCCCCACAGCCTCCCTACCCCCCCCCCCCAACAAAAAAACAAGCAAGCAAGCAGCATACAAAGGCCTGGTTTATGTACCTCCATAAGGGCAGAGATAGCTGTGCATAAATAAAAATGTATCTGAAAAAAAACACTTTGAGGTCAACCTGATGAACTTAGCGAGGTTTTCCCTCAAAAAGTTAAAAAAATAAATAAATTGGGCTGGGGATTTTGCTCAACAGCATAAGCACCTGCCTTGCAACTAGGCGGTTGAGAGTTCGATCACCGGTACTGGTAAAAAGAGAGAGAAAAAAAAGTTTGAGGTAAAAAATGCATCTCCTACAACCTCTGGAAACAGAAACAGCACTAAACTAGGCTAACAGCATCCTTGATTGCTGTTCTTGGGACTGCACTAACACAACTTCCCTTCCTCGCCAAGGATGGGAGTGCAATGCAGGACTGGAAAGAAGTTCAGCTCGCAGTCTTGGGATGAACCTGGCAGTTCTTGCTGGTAGTCAGGGCTTAGCTGCTGAGGGGGTTCCTGGAGGAACAGCCATCAAATTTTATCTAACCTGTCCAACTGTCGACTCCATGTTTCTCTGCCCTTCTTAGTCCTCCTTGATTCTGCACTGAAGGCTTCCTTGATACTTCCTTCACCAAGTAGTGCTGAGAGGTGGGGCATACTGGTAGCCACTCTTCTGCCTGCTGAGCTTGCCAATGGACAGTCAGTGGCCCATTACATTTCAGACATAAACTTTCTATTGCTGCTACCAAAAAGGAAAAAAAAATTGCCCCTGCCTGCTACTGGTAGTGAAATAGAACAAAGAGAAGAAAATCAAAGCATCTTGGGCATCCAGCCAATCTTAGCACTGATAGAGAGAATGGGAGCAGAATCACATTCCCAGCTGGAACTCAGACTCAGTAAGGCCTCCTTCTGGGAAGCCCTGATCTCTGCTGTGCAGAGCTGACTGATGGACTTGTGCAATGGGAAGGCAGGGGAAAGCTTCTCTGTACCTCACAATCAGGGCTTCGGAGGGTTCAGTGGAGGAAGGACAGGAAAGGCTGTGGGAGGGCTTTGGGGCAGTTTAATCAATCGCCTCTTCTCCTCTATCCCACTTTCCCTCCAAACCCACCTAGCTCCACCTTCTTTCTGAAATCAAGGAGCAATCTTTAGATCTCCTGGACCATCCAGACCCTAATGGCCAGAAAACTGTGTGAGAAAGGGGACAAAACTTGAGAAAGAGGTACTGAGGATATATAGCTAGTGGCAAAAGTGACTGCCTGGCAAGCTCAAGGTCGTGAGTTTGATTCCTGGTACCAAAAACAAAACAAAACAAAAACCAAGAAAGGAAAGATCCTCTAAAAGTCACCCAACTGGAGGCCAGGCATGGTGGCTCACACCTTTAATCACAGCACTTAGGAGGCTGAGGTAGGAGGACTGCCAAGAGTTCAAGGCCAGCCTGGACTAGTGAGTTCAAGACCAGCCTGAACTACAGGAGAGACCCTGTTCAAAACAAACAAACAAACAAACAAACACACACACACACAAACAAAACCCAAAAACCAAAAACCAGAGCCAGGTGTGGTGGCACATACCTGTAATCCCAGCACTCCAGAGGCTGAGATAGGAGGATCACTGCAAGTTTGAGACCAGTTTGGGCTACAAAGTGAACTCAAGGTGAGCCTGAACTGCATAGTGAGACTCTGTTTCAAAAAGACAAAAACAAAAAACAAAAACCAAGAACCAAAAAACAAAAACAATGAAAAAACCCAAATGCTGGTGGGGCTGTGCGGAAAAAGGAACTCTGCTCTATTGATGGTGGGAGTGTAGACTAATGTAATCACTATGGAAATCAGTGTAGAGATTCCTCAAAAAAAAAAAAAAAAACCCTAGAATTAGAGGTTCCATTTGACCCAGCTATTTCCCTTCTGGGTAGCTTCCCAAAAGAATTAAAAACATCATATCACAGTGAAATATGTGTACCCATTTTTACAGCAACACAGTTCGTAATAGGTAAATCTTTTTTCTTTTTAGTACCAGGAATTGAACTCAGGACTTTGCACTTGCTAGGCAGGTGCTTATGCTGCTGCCCTTTCTCTAATAGGTAAATCTTGGAAACAACCCAAATGCCCATCAATTGAACAGATAAAGATGTGTTTTTTAAAATATATAATGGAGTACTGCTCAGTCATAAAGAAGGTAAATTTGAGACATTTCCAGGTAAATGGATGCTCCTTGAGACCACTTTTTTTTGGTACCGAGGATCTAATGTATGACCTTGCACTTGCTAGGCAGGCGCTTACACCACTGAGCTAAATCCCCAGCCCAAGACCATACTCTTTTTTTTTTTTTTTTTTTAAATCTTTTTGAAACAGGGTCTTATCATGCAGTTCAGGCTATTCTTGAACTCACTTTGTAGCCCATGCTGGTCTTGAATTTGCATTGATCCTACTGCCTCAGCCACTCAAGTGCTGGATTACAGGCATGTGAGACAATGCCTGGCTGAGATTATACTCTTATGTGAAATAAATTTGGACACACATTTGTAAATACTATATTGTTTCTCTGCACCTGCACTCTGCATCACCAACTCTTCTCTAAACTTCTTTACTAACCTTCACTTCCTTTCATCTTTAGCTCTGCTCTTAGATGACCAGGCCCTATCTTTGTCATTATACAAAGCCTCTGAAATCATTCACCTGTCTTGTCAGTAGCTGTTAGGTACTATCGATATAATCAATAACTACACTGTCCCTTTAGTGCTTAGATGGTTCTTTTGGTGAAATAGAGATAATATGATGTAGAATTAAATGTACATATTAGATACAATGGTTCCACAAAGCAGGAAGCGGATAGTTCATTTAAGGGAAGGTATCATAGTAATTGTCTTAATTACTTTTCTTGTTGTTGAAACAAAATACCTAGCACTCAGAATTAATGGGGGAAAGATTTATTGTAGCTCTTCTGACACATGAGCCTTCAGGTAAAAAAAGAGAGAGAAAAAAAAAGATTTATTGTAGCTCATGATTTGTAGAGGTTGCAGTTCCTAGTCTGCTGACTCCAAGGCAAAGGGGCATGGCAGAGGGACGTCACAGAGGAGAAACCATCATGGTAGGCGGAAGGCAGCAAAGCAGGAAGTAGCAAAAAAAGCAGTGACGCAGCGAGCTTCAGCAGAGCCCTCTTTCTTTCCCTTATATTCTATCAGGCTGCACATCCTTAGGTCAGGTAGCACGCACACCCAGAGTGGGCACCCTTAAACTTAGCATCACATCATTAATCTCAGCGTCACATCCTTAACCCCATCATCACACACTCTAGATCCAAAAAGCCCCACTTATGACCCCATGAGGCTTTGGGGGGACATCCAGACATACCCCAGAAGAAACCAAAGTGTAAATAAGGACGAAAATGGCATAAGAAACCAAAAGTGTGAATAAGGACCAAAATGTATAATAGATATTGGGGAATGGGAAGAAAACGTTCAAATGGAAAGCAGAACTGGGGCAGGGGGAGGGAAAAGAAGAAAAAAATGGAAACAAAGGTTTTGTACACAAGGAGAGGAAGAGGGGTTGAAGGGAGAGGAGGTGAATGGGAAACAAGAATCAAGGGCTGGGGATTTAGCTCAGCAGCACAGCACCTGCCTCACAAGCATGAGGTCATGAATTTGCTCCCCTGTACCAAAAGAAAAAAAAAAAACCAAGGTATATCATGTACAAATACAAATTCCTTATGGTGAATGTGATCATTATGTATATCTAAAATGTACCAATAAAATCAATTAATTAAAAAAAGCCATGAAATCTCATTTATTTTGTAGATGGGGAAACTCAGGGTTAGAAGAAGCAATGATTTGGTCAAAATCATAAAACTCGGCAAAGCTCTGCTCTTCTCAGGCCAGGAACTTTTTTCCAGCACCAATTGGGCTTCACAAACTTCATTTCAGCTTCAAAGGGGATCATCTTGGGCACTACTACAGCTCTTTATCCTCACATGCCTCAGTTCTATTGTTTCAAGCACTTTGGCCAGGCTATTTCAGCTCCTGGCTGATTAGGACAAACTTTCAGGAGCCTTGTCCTGGTCAGTGGGAAGAATGAGAACTCTAGAGCTCCCAGGAAAGCTGGTGGAGGCAGGCTCCCATGGGATAGGTCTCTTCATCGACTCTCACACAAGTACAGTGAGAATACTGAGATCAGGCAAGACTTCTCAGGTGAAGTTGAGGGCCTTGACATTTTTGAAGCAATGTAGAAAACAGTATTTCAAACCATTCTGTATAATTATTGCCACCCACAGAGAGGACATCAAGAGAAGCCTTCACTTTGATAATTCTAGGAGGTGAAATCTCACCCCAGGAGCCACTTTTATCTTCCACCAAACACCTGCAGGTCATAACACCAGTGAAGGGAGACAGGAGAGCAGGGAGTACTTGTGTTTAGGAGCATTGTGGACAGAAAGTGGATAGGACTCCATAGAGCTGTCAGTGTAGAAATCTCATTCCTTAATTATCTGAAGCAGCAGTGTCTGTATAATTAAGACATAAAAATATAGCTAGAGAAGAGTCAGAAACAATTTCAAAAAATGATACTGGTTCCTGGCTCTTTTTTACCTGGCTCAATGATCCTGATCAAGGAGAGGTACAGAGGGGTTTGGCTTGGCTTAGATCAAGGCTCTCTATGCATTTCCCCCATGAAAACCTATGGGGACAGGCTTGTTGGCTAGACAGGGGCTCCCCTCTTGATTGCTTTCAAGGCTGCAAGGGTCAGGAGTTGAGCTAGACAAAGTGGCTATAGGCTGGAAGGATGGGAGTGAATGGCAGGGTGGTGGTGACAGGTTCTGGGTGTGTGTGTGGCAGGGACTGGAGCAGAAAACAGTAAGCCCTAGGCTGATGTTCAGGGGTGGTATTATTAGCAGCTAAGGCTATGAGTGTAGAAAGCATGATTAGTGTTAGGGACTGAAGTATTTCTAGGTCATTTTAAGGTGGAAAATGCATTGCAGACTAGCCTGAACCAGTCAGAAAGTAGCTTCCTACCACTTAAAAGCTGCTTCCCCACCCTGATAACCTTGGTACACAAGAGCTAGGCCACTGTGTTATTCTGTTCCACCCATTTTCTCTGAATGATCTTTATCATACTATGCATGAACAGACACTGTGTATACTTGGAAGTCCTTCTTTATTGGAAAATAAATACAGAGTCAAACAGGTGGGCCAGCCAACATCGGTAACTGTGGATGTCAAAAGGAAGGAGTCCAACTTGCTCAGAATTCAGATTTCCATGAGCTGGTCATTTCCCACGATCACTTCATTTGTTCGTGTAGCTACAAAAGAAAAGAAACAGGTTTTATAAGAACTGGCAGGAAAAGATGTCATTGCAAATCTAAAAGCTTTTGATTCTGTGTTAGCAAAGATTTACTTCTCTCTTTTGTGGCTGTGCGCTTGAGAAGCTCTTGGGATTATGATGTGGGAGAGGGACAGCAGTGCTATATAGAACAGTGGGACTGATTATCCAAACAGCAGCTTTGTGGAACCCCTACTGGAGGACACTTGAAACTTGGTCTCCAGAGTAAAGGATGAACAGATTTCTTCTAGGCAGTGATCAAAAGAAAGGTATTCTAGGCGATTAGACTAGCACAGGCAAAAAGACATGTGGATGTGGCAAAGGGGAACACGAAATACTGAGATGTGATCAGAGGACAGGAAATGAGGAAGGAAGAAATGAGGCTAACAGATAACTGGAGATATTCAAAGGAGAAAATGAGACAACTCATATACATATGGAAATACAGAAATCTTCCCTTGTTTGTGAGGGATAGTTCCACGACCTTCTGAAAATGCCTGAAACTACAGACAATACCAAACCCTATGTTTTTTCCTATGTATATTTTTTATGCACTATGATAATTTTTAAACCAAGCATAGTAAGAAGTTAATGAGAACTATCAATAATAACATAGAACAATACTGTAAAACATACTGTAAAAATGTTATGTGAATGTGTGGTCTCTGTGTTTTAAACTATCTTTTTTTTTTTAAACTATCTTTTAACTGTATTCACCTTTTACTGAGATGATCTAAAATGACACAGTACTTACAGGATCAGTGAAGGTGTTGGTGTGGTGTGATGGCACCTGCCTATAATACTAGCACTTGGGAGGTTGCAGCAGGAGGATCGCCATGAGTTTGAGGCCAGCCTGAACTACACAGGAGTCCCTGTCTCAACCCACACTCCCTCTCCCCCTGCATAAAAAAATGTGTGACCAACTGCTAAAGACTACTAAGGAAAGGTTATGTGAACACAAGCCCCGAGAGACCATGAAGGTAGATCTGATAATCAAGATGGCTACTAAGTACCACTGTAGGGGGAGTGTGTATAGCATGGATATATTGGACAAAAGAATGATTCTCATCTTGGGTATGGAGTGGAACAGCATGAGCTTTTTTGTTTGTTTGTTTGTTTGTTTTTTGGTACCAGGCACTGAATTCATGACCTCACACTTGTTAGGCAGGCACTTAGGCCACTGAGTAAAATCCCCAGCCAACATGAGCTTTTATCATGCTACTCAGAATAGAAGGCAATTTAAAACTTATAATTTGTTTAACTTTTCTTCTTCTTTTTGTCAGTACTTGAGCTTGAACCTATATCCTCTGTGCTGAGCTATATCCTAGTCTTTTTTATGTCTGAGACAGGGTCCTGCAAAATTGTTAAACTAGCTAAACTTGAATTTGCTTCCCTCGGTGTTAAGATTACAGGAATGCACCACTACAACTGGTAGAATTGCTTATTTGTGGAATTTTCCATTTAATATTTTTGGTTTATGATCAACTGTAAGAACTGAAGTCACGGAAAGCAAAACCATAAATGGAAACTACTGTAAAATTTCCTACCGCTGTAAAAAGTTAATGAGTTAAAGGATAAATAGGGGATTTAGCTCAGCGGCACAAGCACCTGCCTTACAAGCAGGCAGTCACGAGTTCGATACCCAGTACCGGGGGGAGGGGGAAGGATAAATGAGTATTCCATAAACACTGGGTATTATTTTTGTGAAGTCTGAACTCATAAGGCTCCTCTATGACCTAGCCCTTACTTACCTTGCTAGTTTCAACTTCCAAGACTCTCCACTTACGACAACAAACCATAAAGGCTTTGTCTGTTTCTTTGTTTGTTTGTTTCTTTTGGGAGACTGGATCTCACTACTAGTTCAAACTAGCCTTGAACTCACTATGTAGCCCAGGCTGGCCTTGAACTCGCAGTGAGCCTCTTGCTTCAGCTTTCTGCGTGCTGGGATTAGAGGTGTGCTCTACTATGCTTGCTTTCCCCTAATCCTTATGCCTTTCCTAATCCAGCATCTCTACTATGTGATATCTTCCATTACTATTCTGGGGTATGTCTGGATGTCCCCCCAAAGCCTCATGGGGTCATAAGTGGGGCTTTTTGGATCTAGAGTGTGTGATGATGGGGTTAAGGATGTGACGCTGAGATTAATGGTGTGATGCTAAGATTAAGGGTGCCCACTCTGGGTGTGCGTGCTACCTGGCCTAAGGATGTGTAGCCTGATAGAATATAAGGGAAAGAAAGAGGGCTGCTGCTGAAGCTCGCTGCGTCACTGCTGTTTTTGCTGCCTTCCGCCTACCATGATGGTTTCTCCTCTGTGACGTCCCTCTGCCATGCCCCTTTGCCTTGGAGTCAGCAGACTAGGAACTGCAACCTCTACAAATCATGAGCTACAATAAATCTTTTTTTTCTCTCTCTTTTTTTACCTGAAGGCTCATGTGTCAGAAGAGCTACAATAAATCTTTCCCCCATTAATTCTGAGTGCTAGGTATTTTGTTTCAACAACAAGAAAAGTAATTAAGACAATTACTATGATACCTTCCCTTAAATGAACTATCCGCTTCCCGCTTTGTGAAACCATTGTATCTAATATGTACATTTAATTCTACATCATATTATCTTTATTTCACCAAAAGAACCATCTAAGCACTAAAGGGACAGTGTAGTTATTGATTATATCGATAGTACCTAACAGCTACTGACAAGACAGGTGAATGATTTCAGAGGCTTTGTATAATGACAAAGATAGGGCCTGGTCATCTAAGAGCAGAGCTAAAGATGAAAGGAAGTGAAGGTTAGTAAAGAAGTTTAGAGAAGAATTGGTGATTCAGAGTGCAGGTGCAGAGCACTTGCCTAGCAAGCACAAAGTTCTGGGTTCAGTCTCAGTAACACTCACACATACAGACACATACACATATGCAGAATTCAGAGAATCATAAACTGGGCTGGTGGCACACACCTGTAATCTCAGCAGCATTGTAAGTTCAAACCCAGTCTCAACTTAGTGAGACTGTGACTCAAAAAGAGAAACAAAAGAACTGTGTGGATGCAGCTCAGTGCAAAGGCTCTGGGTTCAATCCTCTGTCTTGGGGGTGGGGATTATAGTTCAGGGAATCATAAAACTAAGGAGCTGGATAACTATCATTCACTGATGAATATAATTCAGTTATCTAAGATACGGAGAAAAAAGGATGGATGGCAGAGGAAGACCATGAAAATGCTCAAGAAATTTAGGAGAATGTTCTAGATGCTGGCCAATAATGGGGTGCAAGGAGTAATAAAAAGTGTTACAGAAAAACCTTCAAGGAAAAACAGTGCACTGTAGAAAGGAGGCAGTGAGTTCTGGTACAGCAGAATGCCTGCCTTACCTGAGTTGAGGCCCTAGGCTCTACTCCCAAGTCATGCAAACAAAACAAAACAAAACAGAACAAAAAAGGCAAATTGGGCATGGTGGTGCATGCCTGTAATTCCAGCACTGAGGAGGCTGAAGCAGGAAGATCACTGTGAGTGATCAGCCTGGGCTATGCAGTGAACTCAAGACCAGGCTGAACTACATGGTTGTGGGGGTGACGAGGGGCAGGGGTGGGGAGAAGAAACTAAGCAAGGCAGTGAACTAATAACGGGAAATCAAGTGTGGTACCTGGAGGTATGGCACAGATGTAGAGGATAGGAGAGTTCTAGAGTCTTCTGTTGGTTCAGATAGAAAAAAGCTGACCAACTGGCTAAAAACAGATTCTTTCCGGGCTTTACTTCTCCATGGCCTATTAAGATCCAATACCTTGGGGCTGGGGATTTAGCTCAGCAGCATAAGCCTTGCAAGCAGGCAGTCTGGTACAGCAGAATGCCTGCCTTACCTGAATTGAGGCCCTAGGCTCTACTCCCAAGTCATGCAAACAAAACAAAACAAAACATTCTCCTAAATTTTTTTTCGATCCCTGATAAAAACAAAAAAGACAAAAAAAAAAAAAAAAAAAAGATCCAATATCTTTCTTGCTATACTTGGGGTTTGACTGTACTCCTGATGGATGTGGAAGAAATTCTGCTTTCATGAGGTTCCACTTCATCCCCAGAAGGTTTTGATATAGCAAAAATGAAAATCCTTAATGATGGGGGCGCACCACTCCCTGTACTGGGGATTGAACCCAGGGCTTCACACATGTAAGAAGACATTCTCTCAGAGCGCTGTCCTCAGCCTTTATGTAAGAAAGGGTCTTGCTAAGTTTCCCAGGCTGGCCATCTTCCTTCCATCAAACTTGCCATCTTCCTTCTTCAGCCTCTTGAGTAGATGAGATTACAGGTGTGCACCTCCATGCTTGGGTAGTGGCAAAGTTTGACAGTGAAAGATGTTTGGGTCCATTTATAGCTGGGAGCTTTCTTTTGCTCCATCAGCAGAAAGGTTTTTTTTTTTTGTACTGGGGATTATACTCATGACCAGGCAGGTGCTTATGCTGCTAAGCTAAATCCCTGGCCCCAGAAGGAGGTTTTGGAAATGGTGAACTATCAGATGTGTTTCCTGATTTGCTAATCATTGTAGCTTTGTTTCTTTTATCATCTCCTCTGCATGCTACACCCTAGATTTTTCTAAATAATCTGTAGTTTCCAACATTTTGGATTGTTTTTTGGCTTTAGATGTTTTCTCATATATCTTTTCATGACAGGTTCTTCACTGATAAATATATATTTTAAAATTTATTATTATTATTATTGTTATTATTATTACTATTTTGTACTTGCAACTGAACCCAAGGCCTATAGTCTTTTTCACACAGCTATTCCTCCAGCCCTTTTAAAAAATTTGTCACACATTAGAGTTGAATTTGTGATCCTCTTGTCTCAGCCTTGAGTTTGAGGCCAGCCTGAGCTATATAGTGTCTTCAGGGCCAGACTAAACTACAGAGAGAGACGCTGGCTCAATCCTCCAAGCCCCCCAACCCCAGAGCTCCTCTTTACCTCTTTTCCCTCTATACTTGAGTCAGACTCATCACCTCATATCTGTCATGCTCTATGCTTATCGCCCTAATAACCAAGCACCAACCACACAGTTATAGATTAACTGCCGGTGTCTGTCATGCTGTTCTGTATGCATTGTCCCCCAAGTAACCTGTTTGCTATGTCAATCTTTGTTCTCCTTGTAAGAGACAAATGATGCTGTGTCAACTATTGTTCCCTTTATGAGAGACAAATGTTCCTGGAATTGGCAGACCAATTTTTTTTTTTTTTTTGTCTTTTTCCTTTTTATCGGTACCAGGGATCGAACTCACGACTGCCTGCTTGCAAGGCAGGCACTTATGAGACCAAGGGTTATGAATTGGCTAACCACCCACTATGAAATGCCTCTGACCTCAAGTAAAGGGGAACAAAGGCCCACCTTGTTTCTGTTTCTCATTGCTATGTACTTAATGGTCAATGAGCTAATCATAAATGAACTATAAAAATCAGTCAAAATTCTAACTCAGTTGCACAGCTTTGCAAATTCTATCTGCACTGTGTTGCAAGGCCAGCTAAAATAAAAGCGCTTCTTTTTCAAACAACATCGTTTTGCTCTGTTTTTTTTCATCTCGGGGGTCTTGCCCCATTTGTCATCTAGGGGGCCTTTTTGGGGAAGCACAACAATATCTAAACCCTGACATGTCTTTATCCATGTCTTCTAGTTTCTAGGAACACTGGATTGTTTTGAAGGCAGTTCTGGTCCCCATTAACGCTTTTCTTGGACCTCAGTGTTCTGGACAAAGGGGTGAATGAAGTGCCCAAGGGGGCAGACAGCCTTTTCTCCTGCTCTGCCAGGTTCCAAATAAACACCTGAGCCATTCTGGCCTGCCCTCCTACTTCTCTTCTCTCTGGTCACTGGCCTGGGGGGAGAGAAAAGCAAGCTCACTGGGACTCAGGGGACAGTGCATCTGGCATGTTGGGGGTAGAGGTAACTTCATGGAATAAGTTACAGGAAACCTGCCTGGGAAAAAGTAGATCTAATTTTGCTTAGCCAGGGTTGGGAGAAGAACTCAGGAGATACAATGGAGAAGCTTTTGGCTTGAATCATGTTGGGAAGAAGCTTAAAAGGAAGACTAGAAGGGAGAATAATAAATTGGGATTACCAGGGATTTAGCTCAGCGGTATAAGCACCTGCTATGCAAGCGTGTGGTTGTGAGTTTGATCCCTGGTACCAAAAAATAAAAAACAATAAATAAATTAGGAAAAACCCAGTGGGGTAAGAAGGAATAACATCATATGTGAAAAGCTACACTGTTGGGAAACTAGGAAGAATTCCTACTCTCAGGAGGACTTGACTAGAATATACGTTAAGGCCCTGACTATTAAGTTTACTTCCATGAACAAATGGCTGATCACTGTGGTCAATAGGGAAAAGATCAAAGTTGTGTTCTGATGTAAGAAGTGACTCAGACGAATCATCCAATTCAAAGAGTCTCCTTGTTTTTGTTTTTCATGTAGCTTTTGATTGTTGGCTGTGACTTGTCTATTGCTTGAACAGGGGGTCAAACTTGGCTCTAAGATTTTTGCTAGAGATAATCACTGAAAGTGTTAGGGGTAGAATAAGAAAAACCAGAGTTCTGGCCCTGAATCCAGGCCGGCAGCTTCCTGATGCTGTTGGTTTCAAGCAGGAGCCTAAAGAGATGTCTTTCTGTGGTTTGTTGGCCATTTCAGAACTTGGGCAGTGAAATGGTCAGTTCATTAGAAACAGCATGAAACAATCTCCCATCCCCCACCCTGCTGTGAGCAGCTGTGTGAGTGGCAGGATGCAGTGGCCCAGGACAGGGGTCACCAGTGTTTACTGGGACCTGGAGTACGGGGAAACCAAGCAACCTCTCCCCCCATGCCTGTTTTGTTTTGTTGAACTTCAATATACATGCAGGTATGCACAGCTATTTTGAAGAGAATGAGATATACAACTTAAAATGCCTTCCTCATTCTATTTGGATCAATTTTATACTATGTTGTTTTGTATGAATTCTCTGTATGTGAAGACATGGACAATTATTTGGAAGAAAACAAGAGACAATATGATAGATAGTGAAGATCCTGTCTTTACAAACAAAACAAAACAAAAGCCAGATGAAGTGCTCACAGCCTTTAGAGGTCAGTTAGTTCCAAGTTATCACTGTATTTATAAGCTCTCTGTCTCATGTCCAAAAGCCATTATGCAGCACTGGTGCTAATCTGGGTCATTAAACCTGTTTGAACAGTCTCAGGTTGTTTTTTTTGGTATTGGGGATCAAACTCATGACCTCATGCTTGCAAGGCAGTCACTTGTACCACTGAGCTGTCTTTGGCTCAATTTTTTGTTTTGAGTTTTTTTTTTAAACAGGGTTTTGCTGGTTCAGGCTGGCTTTGAACTCATTATGTAGCCCAGGCCGGCCTTGAATTTGCCTCAGCTACCAGTGCTGGGATTATATGATGTGCCACCATGCCAGGTTCAATTTTTTGATAGTATGTGGCTGTATACACGTATTAGTTAATGTGTAAGATGAATTATTAGACATGGAGCTGTTAAGATCAAAGTTTAAAAATTTGGTAATGACGCACAGTGATACAAGCCTGTAATCCCACCATTTGGGAAGACGAGGCAAGGATCATAAGTTGAGGCCAGCCCAGGCTACACAGCCAGTTCAAGGCCAGCCTGGATTGTTTCAGAAAACCAATTAAAAAACTCACAGTGAAGTCAAATGTTCTTCAAAAATGACTTCACTAATTTATGCTCTGGCCTGCAGTGCATGTATGTGCTTGTTTCTCCCATCTTCCCTATTAAGCATCATCCATGCCAGTGAGATATGTAAAAAAATGACACATTACTAGGTAACTCGTTTACCTCTGGCTTCAATCCTCTGGCCACTTCCAATCAAACAGTTTTTAATGTCTGCTCCTTTCTCAATCACAGCATTGTTGCAGATGACGCTGCCCTGGATGTTGCTTCTGTAACACAGCAGACAAATAAATTAAGGAGTGCTCATGGCTCTTATCACCATCCTTACCACTACTGGCTGGGGGTTCAGGTTTCTCCCTAGGTCAAAAGCTGCTGGTCAATATTCTTAAATGAAATAAATCAGACAGACACCTGTAAATATTGCATTGTTTCTCTAGTGTGAGAAACTGAAAGTGTCAAAAAGGACCAAAATGCAGGAAGAAAATGTTCAAGTGGAGAGGAGAAAAAGTGAGGGAGAAGGGGGAAAGAAGAGAAAAAACCCCTAAAACAAAAAACAAACAAAAAAAAAATGAGAGAGAAAGTAAGGAAAAAAAATGGGAACAAAGCTGCATAATGAGGAGGACAGGCAGGGTTGAAGGCACCATAAGGGACTATAAAAATAAAAACAAACACAAACACTGCTGGATACTCCAAGTAATGGCTGCATGTTTCAGAAAAACTAGAAAACATATATAAAGTCATTAGAAAACATAATGGTAGATCAAAGGAGGACTGGGCTTTAGAGAATTTGAGATAATGACCTTTCTCTAAGACCTGAAAAGAATGGATATTTTGGCTAGGTATGATAGTACATACCTGTAATACCAACACTCAGGAGGCTGAGGCAGGAAGATTACCATGAGTTTGAGGACAGACTGAGCTAGATAATGAGTCCACAAAAAAGAAAACACAGAACAAAAAGATGTACAGCATAGGACTGACACTTAAACCTAGACAATAAAGTTTTCATTAGATTTTTTAAAATTAAAAGTTCCTTGACTTTTTATTCCTGGTTATGAACACCAAAATTTATAGGGCAATACACCTGATGTAATGAAAAAAAGAAAAAGAATGCTGGGTGTGGTGGTGTACACCTGTAATCCCAGCATTTGGGAGGCTAAAGCAGGAGGATTACCATGAATTTGAGGCCAGCCTTGACTACATAATGAGATCCTTCCTAAAAAAACCCCCAAACCCCCTCAAACACACACACACACACACACACACACACACACGGTACAACAGATAGAACGTCAGAGGATCATGCACCTACTTGACACTATACTGCATTGATCAACAGCTGCACTCTTTGCAAACTATGGATATCACAGTCCTGAAGCAAGTGTTTCCAGTTTAAGCTGCAGTCACTTTTCTAATTATGGATCATCATTCCTTCTGTGGCAGATTTTTATAGTTCCTCTAATGCATTTGGGATTATGGTCTCAAAGTAACCTGCAGCTTTCCTGACAACGCCTCACTGTCTCTCTTGCTAAGAACTATAGCCCTTTTCTGTTGTTTTTAAAAACTTTCTGTTACCATATCCACCACTTCTACCACCAGATCCATAATCACCAGCATAGGAACTGCCTTAGCTTCTTCTAGCAAACCTGCCCTTTGTGGCTCCATAATTTGACTGTTTTTGTCCACTATAATTTTCAAAATCATTGTAATTCTTACCACCAAAAATTTCTCCATTGTAACCTTCATATTCTCCTCCATCACTACACCCACCACCTTGGTTTCCACCATCAGCACAGGCTCCTCTGTTACTACTGGACTGATGCCATAGTTCCATCATCTCCTCCACATCCATCATACTCACCATCTCCTCCTCTTAACTGCTCTGCTGCCACCTCCTCCAACACCGAGGCTCCTTTTTTACCATAGTTAAGACTCAAAAGTTGCCAGACTTACGTTCACAACTTCTGTGTGATTCAGCAGGCTTCAACTCATTTCCAAAGAGCCCTTTTGACTTCACAAGTTTACCCATTAATAGTGTATTTTTCTTTCTTTCTTTTTTTTTTTTTTTGAAATGGTAGCAAAGTTTAAAGAAAAGGGCTCTCTCTGTAGAGCAAGTTTGGGCCAAGTAAAAGTAGGAAAAGAAGTACACTCTACAGCATGAGAGTGGGCCACTATGCGAGAGAGAACACAGTAGCCTTACAGTGTAGTATTTCTTTTCTTTCTTTCTTTTTTTTTTATTTAAAGAGAGAAGAAAGAAAAAAGAAAAGGACATTAAAAAAAAAAACAATGCAGTGAAAGGGTACAAATAATACAGTATTTCTAGAAAAATATATATACAGTACAAAATCACCAGTTAACAGGCTACACATTATCTTCCTAGAAACAGTTGTCCATATCACTAAATTAAAGCATATAAAGTGAACATTCATACAGTGGAACTGGAGACAGTTCCATTCAATGATCCAACAAAAGCTCAGTTATATGGTTTTCCGTCCTACACTCTTGAACATACCTGCGGTTATATCCCTTAGTCCACCTTACTTTCTTCTCTTTTTTACAGTAACAATTAGACTTTTAGGGTTTTATTACTCTCACAGTTCTTATTACTTTTTTGAAGAGAATAAAAACAAATGTGACTAAGCAAAACAGAGTCAGTTAGAACAGAAACAGTGTAGTATTTCTGAAAACAATTTTATCAACTGTATCATGATCATCAAAAGTTACAAAAGCAAATTCTTTTTTTTCTACTCTGCCATAACTTTTATGGTTCCAATCTTGCCATACTTTTCAAATTATATTCTTTTCTACCTTGTTTAGTACTACCAACAAAACTTTTCTTCACTGTTAGATGGGCACCAGGCTTTACTGAATCCACTGTAGAAACAGCTCTCTTTGGTTCCAACACAGCCCACCAACTTTGTGTGGGGGCACACCTCGTTGCATCCACTACTTCAACACAAAAGTCATAAAACCTAAGCCCCTGGAGTATTTTGTTTGAGGGTCCTCATTACTACACAATCCGTGTGCCCCATTTCTCAAAATAATTCTTTTAAAAGTGAGTTTCAGAGCTTAGACCACTAATAAATAGCTTCCTCAACTGCTCTGATTCCTTTGGATCATGGTCTGTAAGTTATGTGAACTGCCATTTAATTCATGCATTAAGATTTTGATCATCTAAACTCCTTAAAAGGGGCACACATTCACATTCCCGTATCTTCCTGTGTCCACTCAATTCTGGATTTGTCTCTGCTAACCCAAGTTCAATCTCATTAGACTTTTGATTCTGAACATCAGCTGTCACAGACACCGGGAGAAAATTCGAAAGATGGGAAGAAGCTTTTTTGCACAGTCTATACCTTTCCCAAAGTGGTCCTATTAGAATCTCTCAAGCCCTGGATCTTGGGCAGGTGTTCAATTCACTGTCCAGAAATTCTCAGCAGCTCACCACTGGTGGCAGAGACAAGCACATTGAGAATATGAATCCCCCCCTTTTTTAAAACCTCCCTCTATACAAACATAATCTCCTCCTGACACTCAGTCCATACCTAATAATAGCAAGGTAATAATATTCACACGACTGCAATTTAATTACCTTTCTTAAATTTACCCTAAGTAATTAAAACTAAATGACCCCTAAATAATGGGGAAGGTTCACATGGGATATAGGATATCTGATCTCATCACTGTGAGCTAATTTTCTTTTTTTTTTTTTTTTGTCTTTTTCCTTTTTATCGGTACCGGGGATCGAACTCATGACTGCCTGCTTGCAAGGCAGGCGCTTATGCTGCTGAGCTAAATCCCTAGCCCCGCTAATTTTCAGGACTGGGTAATCTCTAATAGTCTTCCTTTGCCTACAGCTTTACACCAACCTTTTTAGTGGGAAAGTAGCAATTATATAGCTTCTAAACCGTTTACTTGTTTTCCTAGATAAAAATCTTACTAGATCAGCTAAGATTATATGCTTTCTTCAGAAAAGCAAATGACTCTGGGATATGCTAGGCCTTTCCTGTCCACTTATATAAGCAAGCAGTAGTTTCTTAGGGAGACATAGTTTCCTGACCAAGTTTCTTCAGGTCTCCGAGAACACTAACACAGGACTTTTAACTGGTGCTAAGGAGCTGCTGCTTTGTCTGTCCACTCAAAGAAGAGGATGAAGGAGTGGTTAATTAGAGCAAATGGAGGAAAGTTATGGTACTGCTTTCCTTGGAAGGTGTGAGGCAAGATGAGAGAAAGTCGGGGCTACAATGCCTCATTAGTAACTCTGGAACTAGATGATCAAATGGATAAAGGTAAGTGTAGTCCCAGTTTATTTGTTTCTTTCTTTTTAAGAACAGAATATATTTATTGAGAGGAAGAAAGCTTCTCTCTGAGAGAGAGAGACAGACAGAAAGAGACAGAGAGAGAGAGAGACAGAGAGACAGAGAGACAAAGAGACAGAGAGACAGAAAGAAGGGGTACCAAGTGGGTTGCCTAGTTTCAGTTTCTAAGAGAATGGTGATGTGTATTAGTCTCATGCAGGAGTCTGGAACAGAGCGTGGACTAGGATGCAACAAGAGAAAAGTCTGGAATGCTACAATTTATTCAACTGTGAAAACCCAAGGAGCTGAGCTAGATGATTTCTAAGCACTCAAGTTACTCTAAATGCCAGGACTCAATATTGGAGCTAGTTCATGAGAAACCTTAAAAGTTCCAACTTTATTCTAAAGCCAATGGGAACATTTGAAAGTTTTATATTAGAACAGGGGATGGATTCAGAGATTTTGTTGTTGTTGTCCTGCATTGTTTTGTGAGACAAGGTCCTGTCCCTAAATTGTCCAGCCTGACCTTGAACTTGTGATTCTCCTGCCTCAGCCTCACAAGGGCTAGAACTAAATGCGTGTACCAACCCATCTTTGGAAAGACACTGGCAGCACATTGCATTTGAGAAATGGGATAAAGTAACAACAACAACAAAAGGTAAGGAACATTCTATGTGCTAAGCGTGGTTAAGTGTTTTATGCTTATTAATTCTCTTAGTACCTGTATTCCCAATAAACCTATGGGGTACTTCAGTTTTGCCAACTTTATAATGAGAAAATAAGGCACAAAGAAGTCAATTTTCTAAGAGGTTATTAAGTGACAGGTCCAGAATTGGTCTCTTATTGTGACCACAAAACTCATGCTATAACCCAGAGGAAGAGAAAGAAAGATGAAGATAGGAAAATAGGTTAGAGAACATTACCTTGGTTCAGAGGTACAGACTGTATTGTTGGGTCTGATTTCTTCTGGC